CATACGTACATTCACACATTAACGGGCACACAATACCCACCCTTTGGAAAAGTATAAGCTCTCTGTTGAATGTGTACACACATTCAATTTGGGTTCCCAACGGGCCGGTTGTTGTCACCCACTCTGCCACAGCAGTTATCGGCCCCAGCTAGCCACCACAATTAGCCAGGCCATAAAGACCTCCTAAGTAAGGCTCATTCACCGAGGTACCCATGACAGCTGTTAATATCTCGCACCACATTCATTTAGGCCCGCTCCTACCCAAAACCTGTCTGTTGTCCGACTGAAAACACTCAATATTTTGGAATACTGAGTGCGTGCTGGTGCTACAGCAACCTGGAGAGACAATGGTACTGCCCCTCTTATTCACAGCGCCGGGCTTACCCGGCGGGGGTTTGGCAGACGAGAGATGCAAGGCAATCTCAGCGGCTGATCCCAGGGTCTGCCCCAGTGAGGAAGAGTCGGTGGATTTGTCTCGGAAAACGTCTGATCCGTGTCTCGAAATAAAGCTGTCAATCTGCTGCTTCAGTTCGACGCTGAACTGAGGTTCGGCATGCTCCGAAAACGGCACTCCTGTCACATGACAAGAACAGACGACACTATAAAATCGTGGTCACTTGATGCATAATTTGCAAGCAAAGCGAGCCCACCTACTCATCTGAATTGCACGATTTAGCATGGCACTGTCACCATACCATAACGCTACACGGAAAAAAATCGCTTAAAATTTGCAATTGTGTGGGCTCACTTGCCTAAAGATGCATTGTTATTATCTTAGATACACCGGAGAACAGTTTCAAATATTGGCTGCTACTTGCAAGCACCAGGTCATAATAATTACTACATGACACAGTAGAAGGCATGAGATATTTGGCTCTATAGCCTTGCATTCTTTTTTCTTACACCAAGCATGAGTGCTTTCAAAAAGCTCCACACAACACTGTTAGTTCTACTTTCTACTGTAATCTATCTGTTCCCCTGTTCCCTGCCTACTACTTCCCCCCAAGGACAAAACACTTAGCACAAAAACCTCTACAGTAGCTAAAGAGGGTGATTGTGTGTTTTTGTAAGGTGAAGCCTCTGAGCTGACCTCTTAGCTACTCTGTTTGCTCATAAGAATACTGTGAAACCTCTAGTAGGACAAACATACACAGAACAACTTGCAGTTAGACAAGTCTTTAATGCATGGGTATGATGGTCCACTCAAGGAAAATGTTGTCTGTACGTCTGTTGCCATACACACTGAAGCTGTATGAGACTCTTGTCACGTGCAAAAAAATTTGTAGTGTATGTTTTTGGTCTTCCACTCTGCGAATTGATTCACAAACAAACGCAACTACACCTGTGAATGGATCAGACGGTGGTCTCCCATACACACAGTCAGTGGTGTGCAGCTTGTCCAGGGTGCTCCGGTCCACAAAGTGACCGGAGGGCAGGAGCATAGGCAACACCATGATCTCGCAGGTGATCTCGTCCATGAATCTCTCCGGTACACTAACACTGTTGGTCTCTCTACCACCACTCTCATTGGGCCTTGTTCCATAGCTAGAGCTCTGGCCCACCAGCCCCATGACTACTGGCAGAGCATGGGCCTCCAGAAAAATTCAATTCCTCAGAGGATTGCTGAGTGGGGCACTCTGCTCCAACCTTACTCAGAGCTCCCTGTGACCAGACCCTTTGACTTTGGGGCACAGAAATTTCTTTGATCCCACTGGGTAGAGCTGCACCTCAACTCACTGCTCTCATTCCCGCTAACAGTCAATGGAAAAGCAGCAGCTTTTACAGAGCCTTCCCTCCCTTTTCCATCAAGGGGGCAGGGAGAATGACAGATTGATTTCTCACACAGGTGGTAATCTGCTAGGCCACACTCTGGGGTGGGCCTGGAGTCAGCTTTGTACATCAACACCACCCCTTCCCTGGGAGTAAATACAGCAGGGACCTTTTCCTCCAGCTTGGCCAGTGCAGCCAGAGCCTTCTGCCAGTCCTCCTCAGACGCAGATGTTCCCAACTTCCCCCAAATTTCAACCAACTCCAGGGACACCGGCCTGGGCCCAGAGAAGTAGTTGACAGTCAGTCTCAAGTGCCTTACGTTGCGGCACACGTCCTTCAGTGAGTCTTCTGTGGGTTCCCTCCCCGCTGCTCTGTCTGCACCAGTCAACCGACTACCAACAACACCAGTGAAGGACCCGAGGTCCACACTGCAGCCACACCTCCTCTCAAAGACCCTGTTCTTCATGAGCAGGAGAGCTCCCTTCCCCCTCACCGACCCACGCCCCATTGTGAGGAGGTCCTCGTGCCGCGTGTGGGACCTGGAGCCGGCAGTAGCAGAGACAGTGAAAGTTGCTGCAGAGTCTTCGTCGCCCAAGTCGGGTTTCACCACCACACAGGCCACGTCGATCGGAGCCAGGAAACTGAAGTCCAGGTGGACCGGCGGTCGGACAAAATGCTCCACTCTGAAACCTCTCGGACTGGATTGGAACGACGACGTGCCAGACTCAACCACGAGATTATCCACATGATGGTCGTCAGCACACACTGAACTGCACTCCACGTGCTTTGTTAGCGACACTTGGCAAAAGTTTATCAACTTGGGCGCTGCTGGGCGGGTGTTCATCGAAATTCCCTTGCCCTATGTGTTTGTGTGTGTGTGCAAGAAAAGAGTAAACCCTTTTTCGAATTGAATATGCTGGCCATGTTCATGCATTTTAGTATCAAGAGTAACATTAAATTCGTTGGAAATTAAAAAAACACAGCTGTAATAATACATTCCAGAGCAAATTACTGCCAAGCATATTTTAGAGAGGAAAGAAGTCTTAGAGCAGCACCAACATAGAAAACCTATTGGGAGCTGGGACATTGGATATCCTTACATGTCTAGGGGGTGGCCTGCAATTTAGGATGCCCTACATACCTACTGAACACAAGGAAGGAATGAATGGTGAGGGGCAATACATAGGGCCTCTCGGAATGTCTTAACTAACAGGGACCAGATTTTTCACCTGTATCAGCGCATAGGTGAGAGGGAAGAGAGCATACATGTATACACACAGGCAGAGTCATCAGGTGGTTAAGACAAGTAAGGAAAGAAAATCTGAGGTCTGTGTTTGTCACTTGAAGCCATTGACCAACTGCCAACCATTATATAGAGAGAGATGTGTTGACAGTGCAACACCCAAAATAACTTCCTGACAAGAGGAACCTTTCCTACCCGATACACATTCACATTATCAACCAGGTCTTCAGGAATGAGGAATGAGGAAGGAATTGAAACTTCGCGAGAAGAGAGACACAAAGAGTCAAATGCGTCAATACAAATTTGGATTCTTACACCGGGATGCTGAAATTTGAACTAGCTGCAAGAACGTAAGGTTTCGTTATTACTTACGTGTTTGCAGGTGTATGGAGAGAGAAAGTGAGGAAGAGAGAGAGACAAGTGTATGGAGAGAGAAAGCGAGGAAGAGAGAGAGACAAGTGTATGGAGAGAGAAAGCGAGGAAGAGAGAGAGACAAGTGTATGGAGAGAGAAAGCGAGGAAGAGAGAGAGACAAGTGTATGGAGAGAGAAAACTAGGAAGAGAGAGAGACAAGTGTATGGAGAGAGAAAGCAAGGAAGAGAGAGAGAGACAAGTGTATGGAGAGAGAAAGCGAGGAAGAGAGAGAGACATGCGTATGGAGAGAGAAAGCGAGGAAGAGAGAGAGACATGCGTATGGAGAGAGAAAGCGAGGAAGAGAGAGAGACATGCGTATGGAGAGAGAGAGGGGACACTTCCCGTAATAAGTGAACACTGCTTTAGCCCACCCGCCAATCAGCAAACACTGCATTCTCGCCACTCTTTCATGTGGAGAGGCAATGCTAGTAGCAACGGTGGTCAAGAGAGGGTAACGTGATCTGTGGGGGCTCCACTGCAATACTACCCACTCCAAAACCACCAGTGGCCTACAGAGGCTCCGTCGCTGCGCGGTGGTGGTGGTGGTCACAGACGCCAACAGTGTACACTTACACATGGAGTGCAGGAAGAAAGGGGATCAACTACCAAAGTCAAATCTGTTTACTACACAGGGCAGGCTGTCACAGAGCCAGGGCCACTTCTAGAGCGGGCACATGTACGACTTTCGGTAACCATTGTCCCTTCTGAAACCTCCCTTCCTGTCTGGACTAATAGCAGTATATACTACTACGTTTCCCTTGACACCTAGGAACTTCAAAACCTGGATAATCCCCCACAGGTACATAAAATTGATATCCTAACACTAGTTACGCAACTAGCAGCTTGAACCCTTAGAAATATTATTATCCACCAGGAGATAATTATTGTGTATTGCTTACATCTGATAGCACCTTACTCCATTGGGGTACTGGAACAAAAGCTCAAGGGAAAGTATGCATTCACTACAGTATGCAGGTTAGGGCGCAGTTCACTCAGACTTCAGGCACCACTACTTTATCACAACAGGAACTGTACAAACTCCAGGATCACACCACACCACCAGCAGCCCGTGCCCATCTGCTTGGACAGCACAATCCTCCTACATACTCCATGACCCTATGATTATCAACAATGAGCCCCAAAGACTGTTGTACACAGAAGAAACACACAATGCAGTGTTGCAGAAACCCTAGCAAGGGAGAGGTAAATAAGCAACGACCAAACCCACTATGAAATTCTCCCCAGCAAAACGCTTGCTTGCTCTTCACTCAAAAAAAATACCAAGGGACAAGAAGGAGAGAGAGTGTGTGTTTGATATTTGAGGCTGCCATTTGATATGTGTTCACACACACATGCATGCATGCAGGCACATGCCACAGAGAGGCTTATACCAGGGCTGTTGACAGACCACATGCCAAAGAGCCCTCTGAGAGGATAAAGCAAACCGAGGCTCAAAGCTAAAGCTAACTCTGTCAGTTCTCAGAGGCATGCAATTCAAACACTCCAGGCAACACTACCAAGCTATTGATACAACAACATACGGGGGAAAGAAATCGCCCAACAAAACAGGCACACGCTCTCCGCGTTTAGATAGCGCTCGATATGGACACACAGACAGACGCCCGGGCACACGGCTTGCATCAGCAGAACCATAGCGACTGAGAGCAGGGGTTAACCCTCAAAACACACATGGACACCCGCGCACACACACACAATCAGCACATTGAGCCAGAGTTGACTACACACAATGCAGGGGGACAACTACAGGGCTTCACTCTTGAGAGATTTACATAGTCAAGAGGAGTTCAAGTGGAGAAACCTTGGGAGGCTTGGCAGTGGCTGCCAGAGTATCTGGCACATGCAGGGATACCAACACACGCTCTGTACAACGATAATACCAACGCCACCTCCCCAACAGAGAGTTCAGCTGATATGGAAGGCTGGTTTAGGTGGGCAAGGCAGCTTCGGTCAATGCATTAGTAGGTGCTCCCTCTTGAAGCAAACTGATAAGCTCAAGTGGTCGAGAGCAGAGGCCCTACATGTTACAAACCATCAGAGCACACACATGCACAGAATGCGTGAGTGTATTTGGACAGACAGTGTATACATAGGCTCCCTTACAAACACCAACGGTCAGATATTTACGCTGTCTGGCATAGTTGTACTATCTTTCTACTACTCCAATCCTACTCCAATCCTCCCCCGAATCTGAGCCGGCAGTACTCCGCTGTGTAGATTTTACGCCAAGTCCCGCGCCCCGAAATAATTAGTTCTCGCCGCATGTCAAACATATTCATAGCCGGCACCTGTCGGCCACCCCAAACCTATTATACAAACAGTAACCCTATATCACTATGCTTCGCAAGCCAGGCCAAATACCACGTTTGAATTGCATGACGACAGCATCCACACCCAGTGCTTTTCAATGCTATAAATCTTCATCGCAACATTTCATAAGAGAAGTCTTTGTAAAGAGTGGGGCTCCACTGCGTCGCATAATTAGGTCATTGTCCAACAGTATAATGGCACACAAGGAACATATTGCACTTTGGAGGTTGTTTACTGATTGACAAAGCTAATGTCCTTTTGGACAAAGCTAATGTCCTTTTGGAGTACTACGACCACATACAGGATGCTCCATTTAGCTCTCTGAGAGTAGTGTGTGTGTGTGCCCACCCAGAGACTGGAGCGAAGAAAATGTCACCCGAACGGGGATACTTCAACGTCCCGTCGGGTATTTCATCATCACCCAGCATCCGCATATGTAGCGCTTACCCCGTACAGGCGACCAGTATAGTACTGTATGGTTCTCTTGAGTTTCCATTCCCAACGGTTAGGTAAACATACTTTGCTCAAAACAGGGGACTAAACGTGCTTCCATTGCACGATGATGCAGCACATAACTAACCAGTAATCATTTTCTCCTTCATCTTCCATACTTGACACTACACAGACACATAATAATTATACACACAGCCAGCAACCCTGCTATGGATTCGACTGCCCAAGACTGGCATGAGCAGGGATAACAACCACTTCCTGTCCCATTAGCTGCCATGCCCATATTGACCCAAACGAGCATTCCACAGCTCCTGCCCTGCAGCTCAGTGGACCCTCACCAAAACTTGCCAGTCTCAGCAAAACCTCCACAGGTCACGTTTCACTCACTCCAGGGAAGGACAGGGAAGGAGAAGAGAGAGAGGGGGGGGGGTGGATTTCCTGTTTGGTGAGTGACACATCTCCCCATCAACACTACGCCAGCCGCAGACTATGTGCACCACAGCTGTGTGGTTATGGACCCAGGCTGTGAAGTGGCTGGAGTATCAGTAGCTGGTCGCCCACTCAATCTGTGCAGGCAGCCCTCCCACAGTGAGTTATTGTCACACCTGAATCCACAGGGAGCAACACTTAACGGAACAATGTAGTATAATACACATGGCTTATACACATGGCAGAAGCCAACTGTCCTAGCTGCAGAGTTGTAACCACAGGCAAGCGGCTGAATAAAGTAGCCCAGGCCTCTGGAATTCAATTTAACACTCTGCGTTCTCCAAGCAGCAAAAACACTATCTAGAACAAATAAAGACTGTGCCGCTATTCAACCTCATCTCCACCTTCTACACCAACACAACGAGGCTGTTCAAGTACACAAAACGACAACAGAAATCCCACACGCTCGTATGTATGGAGCTGCATTCATGGGGAAAATACGAGACTGCAGAGGAGGCGCAGGGACGCTGGTCGCTGCTAATTAGTCAATGTGGGGAGGATTTAATCAGCCACACTACAGCACCACACGTAAAATAAACCTACAGCTCTACCGTAGCTCAAATGTCATTCCATTCATACAAAATGTGTAGGCACAATTACCGGCAGCATATTATGCCAAGATGTGCCGTTTTTGTCCCACTTCAATTCACCCTCCCCTGCCTCCCTCTGACACATTTTGATATTAATGGCTGTCATCATGATTTAGCTCTTGAGCGGCCATCAATATTGGCTCACTGCCAACATGCCCCACCGTGGCCATCCCTTGCATCCTCTCACACACTTCCACCACAGAAAAATCAGCATTACTGTAGCCTCAAATTACCTCAACTGTATTACTGTACTTAAAGGCGGACCATGGGTGGCAAACCTGTACAAAGACCTTGCAGCAAGGAGAGGAAAGGAGGGAGAAAGGCAAAGCAGAGTGAGAGCACAACACTCAAACAACAGCCAATGTCATAGGCCATGCACCCAAAAGGCCTTGAACTTGATACTCTGAGAAAGCAAACACTGTTTATCAACACAGCTTTACCTAAGGGCAGCTGTAGAAACAAAACATCGTGTGATTTGTCTGGCAGGTTTCTTCGTATGGAGAAATGCATGAGCATGAATGACTCTGGTATAATATAAGCAGCTTTCAATAGTTACAGTAAGAGACACCTGTACACAGAGAGCATACCACTTTCCCAGGCAATCCCCCCCAAGGAGACTAGTGGTAAACAAACATCAATAAATTGACGTGCCAGGGTCTTCCTAGCTCACCACATGACAGGCCTACAGGAAGGTATGGGGCATGTAGGTGCTCTCTCTCTCTCTCTCACTCTCACTCTAGAGAGGTGTGTGCCGGCTTCCTTGACAACAGACATCCAGACACACACACACACAAACCAAACCTGCTGCTCTGTGATGGCAACTAGCTTCTCCGAGTGCCTCCACACGCATTCCATCGCTATGTAGCATACGAGCGCATCGAGTAGAAACGGAACCTTATGCCATTTTAAAACACTGCTATACATTTACTCTGCTGTTTGTACTTGATGCGGTTGACAGGTACATTATACTGATATTTCACTAAAAATTACAATTCTTCTCACATTCATAGCACAGCCCCTTATAACATGCACCAATCGCTATAGCGAGTCAACAGTAAGTACATAGGCCCCACAAGTCGAGTAACGGAATTTGCACTCCCGACATTAGCAGCATTTTGTATATATAATGTAGTATTAGTTAATGTACTGAATAGGCCCAGGATGTATTGCAACAGAGGTATATACCAGGAAAGACAGAGTGTGTGAATGGAGGATACAAGGGAAATTAAAAACCTTTATGAAGGTGGATAAATGGGAAATGAACAAATGTCCCCTGGGGAAGGTCCACGAACTATGTGCACCTTTATTGCAAAAAGTCACTGTATGACATATAACGTTATGTGTGAATGCATCAAAACATCATAAGCACATTCTCTAGTACCATGGTATATACCCTAAACAAACTGCAATGTAACTAAGTCTACAGTGAAACATCTGAACAAGGGACACCATTGGGACATTTAAGTTGCCCTTCATTCTCCTTATTCGGAAAATACACTAATGCAGCAGAACATAGCGTCCTTTACAGAGATTTGTCCTTTATTCAGAGGGTCAGTCAAAAAAGCAACTTCCAAGCTATAGTTTCCCCCTCTCTAGCCTGAGAGAGGGGGAAAACACAAAAACTTGGAACCACACCTGCCAACCCCATAACAGAACAATGTGTGAAGCCAACTGTTCGACGCAGACACGTGTGGCAGGCTGAATCCCACCCTACAGTCTACCACATCGTCACCTTGGAGACACCCCTATACGTAGCACACAAACACCATACAAGAACTCTTTTAGTAGACTAGCGACAGGGGCTTCAGGCAGGGATAAAAGCCAGAGCTCGCTGCAAATAGGGAGGGAGGGAGGGAGGGAGGAGAGGAGAATAAACAGAGAAAGGAAGGAAGGTTGCACAGAAAACATGAAACTAATCAGCGGGCAGCTTATTATATTCTGTGCTGTTTGCTTGAAGACCCTCTCGGACTGTCCGCTGTGCCACATCAAAGACAGCGCCACTTTCAAGATGCCTCCTGCTGCTGTTGACAGTGTGAGTGAAAACAGCAGCATACCATACAGGGCACCTGGTGGGTGGGCAACCAACAGGTTCCTCGCTACCTAGTCACGTGCACGTTCCCCAGGTAGGTGTAACCATGCACTCCATGTTAGTATCCAGAGGGCGGGGCCAGAGATACGCTCTAGCACAATCTCTTGCCTCTTATTTCACCAACAACCGCGTCCGTGGCCGAGAGCTCAATTACGTGTCTCATGAACTGAGATTACTTTACCCTTTCAATGACTTTGGGGACTCTGTGATGCCAAGAATAACCGCTCCATTCGGTCCTGCGCGCAGCTCGTCTCTCGCTCACAGGCGACGAAACGAAGGACACCTATGCGCATGCGCAGATATCAAGGGTCAAGGTTTTAGAGTGGAAAAATGACGGACAGCATAAGCAAAAAAACTCGGGTAAATAATTATACGACAATCAATGACGCAGCAGAGTATATAGACACGTTGAAAGTGCATGGAGAGTAAAAGAGGACGTGATGCATGATGATACATACACAATGTCTCATATTTTTGTGGCCAAATTCTGAGTAGAAGAGCTTTTGGGAAGTGTGCTGCTCCTGGCTGACTTCTGGTTGTCCAGGCCACCGTGCAGTCCTTTCTGTGTGTGTGTGTGGCACAAGACATTCTTACTAGCTAGTCAGGCATGTGAAAGCAAAATGGTCTCAGCGGTAATTTACAGTATAGTGATAGTGCCGTCCATAAAAATCGTGCAATTCAGACAACTCGGTAGGCTGCTTCACCCAATCCATTTTGAATCACAGAGTTGAACTCTGCCTATAGGTCTCGACCTGGAAGTCAGTGTAGGAGCCAGTTGAGGCGAGAGAGAAGTTGGCCTGAGTGAACAAACTCTCGTCTGGACAGGGTTCGTGGTGTGTGTTCTTCTCAGCGAGGATTCTCCTTGATGAGGAGGCTGTGGGAGGTCTCTTACGTCCTGGTGTCTGGAGAGAGAGAGAGAGAGAGAGAGAGAGAGGAGGGGGAGGGACCGTATATCTTTTTTGGGCAACAATGTTCAACCACACAAAGATTTTACGTGGTGTATCTGGGTGCATAACGAAATTACATCACGTGTATGGGAAATGTAACTTTCCTACAGCACTCACTGGAAGCCCTGTTGGCCGTTTCTGAGAGGTAGTGGTGTTGTTGACCTTCTTTGAAGGCTGCTGTCGCAAGGCCGAGTGGAGAGGAGACGGACCAACTCTTCTCTGTTTGCTGATGTTACTCACTGGAGTCGTCCCACCTCGCCTGATGACATTATACAAACCTTACTGTATCGGTAGTCATTTACATTTTATGGACATGAACTGCTTAGAACAGTTAAATGCAACCACTTAGAACAGCCAAATGCACCAAACTTTGTTAAGCAGGCAATGATTGCTAAATTAATGTCCCATAAACTCCATCTGTAGATTACCTCTTGACAGGAGTGGTGGGTCTGCTGCCATAGGTCATCTCAAACATCAATGCCTCCTCTTTGTCCTTCTTCTATAATATACAGACAACGGAGAAACCACCTGATGTTACTGGCGTCCATTCATTGAGGCCTTGACTTACACATACATACACAACAAGGCCATACAGTGTAGGACTGCGTGCTGCGTGCATGTGGCTAAATGTGCAAGCAAGCAGTCTTTAGGTTTGATTCATGGTTTTTGTGACCTCTTCCATTTGCTGACAGGCATGGGCAACTTTGTTCTTGGCCAAACTTTTCACCACCTTTTTCATCTTCTCGGTCTCCTTCTTCAGGGACCTCTCCTCAATCTGCTCCTCCATGAGGTCCAGGAACCGGGTGTCGAGGACGACAAAGTGTCTCTCGTGGTCCTCCTCCCACTGGGTCACCACGCCGCTGAGCTCCCTCTCCGTCCGAGGAAGCTCCTTCTCCAGCTGCTTACGGAGCTTCAGCTGCTTCTGGAGCTGCCCACCTCTGTTGTTGAACCTGTTGGGGTCGTTTGACTGCCTCTACAGAGGGAGAATGAAGTCCGTTTGAGGTAGAGAGTTGCCGAACTACGCCCTCATGCAACAACTTAGCTTAGTACACCTACAGACACGTTTATCGAGTGAGGTGTACAATCCACTCATAGCTGTATGTATGTAGTAATGTCTTTGTTCTTACGTCAAGTTCAATTTGCTGCTGCCAGAGCTTCTCTCTCTTCTGGAGGAGGTCAAAGATCTCCTTGTTGTCCTGGTAGAATCCTCGCATGCGGTCCAGCTCGCTCTCGTGGGCACTCAGGAGATCTTCACTGAACTCATCTGGACATGGGACAGCGCATGCATCATTGAGAGAAGAGATGTTGAGTTAAGGCTTTCAACTCTAAATCCACAAAAAAAGGCACAAAGATCGTTTGCTGCGAAAGTATTCCGTTACATTTGTGTCAGTGCACCCATGATACATACAGCTAGGGAATGTGTGTCTGGAGCCCCACCTGTGAAAGCAGCGCTGAACTCCCTCCTCTGCCGGGGACCATACATACACTGGTCCCAGACCACGTGGAGCTCTTCTCTGGTGGCCTCACAGAACTTCTGCATGTGCTGCTTCTTGAGTTCGTTCAGACGACTCATCTCCTCACACAACTGCCACGATCGTGTGCGGTTGGGAAAGATGAAAACAAACAGTAACACACACGATTTCATCGAGGGTACAGTATATGGACTTTGGCTCAACCCTCAGAACTGTTGTAGACGGTTGCACAGTTTAGCATGGGCACACTAATAACAGGTATATACAAGTCAGTACTCGTTACAGTGCATTGGTGCACACATTATTTGAACATACAGCACATCAATGTTAGCACCGTACGAAGTAGAAATAGACACATAAGGACGAAGAAACGTTTGACATACGTACGCTGGCAATGATTTTGGGTTTGTGTCCGGTGTAGAGCTGGGAGAAGGCATCTCGGTGGTCTTGAGGTACCTCCAGTCTCTCCCAGAGAGATCGTATGGTCCCCCGCAGCTGGTGGGCCCTGGCCTCCAGATGGGTGGCCTCTTCCTCCAACTGTATGAGAAGGTCAGGGGAGGCGAGAGTGAGATGGAGGCAAGTCTACTGTACTCACCTCAGCATAGAACCTGTTGAGTCGAATGAGGTTCTCTGAGGAGAGGACAAACACTCTGATGTCCCCAGAGGCCACTTGCTGCTCAAATTGTTCGTGTGGCTCCATCTCCAGCTCATTCCACAGACCCAGCACCTTCTCACGCAGGGCAAGGAACTCTGCCTGCCTGTCATTCTGAACCAGGAGAGGACCAGTAGGGAACAGAGCAAGAGGGGAGAGGGGAGCAGGAGGGGAGAGAGGTAAAAGAGGGGAAACAGGAGCAAGAGGGGGGAGAGTAGCAGGAGGAGAGAGAGAGGAAAAAGACGGAAGAGAGGACCAGTAGGGGAGAGAGTAGCAGGAGGGGAGTTAGAGTGTGTAATCTGTAGCTACATTGAACTACTATCCGTGCCTTCTTTTTCTCGAGTCTCCCGACCAGTCCGCGGTAGTGCTGCAGCTCGTCCTCGGACGGCACTTGACCTGACGAGAGGATGCTCGTCAACTTGGGTGTCTCGTCGAGGCAATGGCACATGGCCACCTCGAGTTCACTGAGTCTCTTCAGCCTCTTGAGACGACTGTGCTTCTCCTGTGGTAGTAAGAAACATACATAAGCAATAGTGTAAGTGAGATCATTGACTAAGGCACAAGTCCAAAACGAATATTTTACCGAACGAAATAAACCAGCATAACCACCCGCTGGAAACATTTTTGAGGAGAGAGAGAAAGGAAGGTCTGAGGACCTGAGAAGACTATTGCACACATTAGCTCCACAAAAGTCACTGATATAGCATACATATACATGTGCCGTGGGCGCACTGGAGAAAGGAAAGAAAAAATGCAGCACCAACCTTTGTGAGAGTGTCTGCTTTCTGGCGAAGTTGTTTCTCTCTGGCAGCCAGAGGAAGGTCGTCAGAAGGCTGTGGAGGAGAAACGGAGTTCACACAGGGAACACTAAACAGAAAACAAGAGTTCTTACCCCCTCAAAGGGAAGGGAGAGCTGGTTGCAGAGTTCGGCGAGCTCCTTGGTGCAGTGGGCAACGCTATCGATGAGTTTGGCCTTCAAGACCTCCTCCTCTCTGTACATGTCCTCCATGAGGTTGTGGATGTGGAGGCGAATGGTGTCCCGACGTGTGGCCAGGTTCTCGTCCTCCACTCCTAAACACACAGACACCATGGAACAACACGTCATGCCACGCAACATCAAACAAGCAACACAGTATGTAAAACGAGTGAAAAGGCGGCGGTGACTCACCCATTTCTTGCCAGACCCTGGCGAATTTCTCTAGCATTGGTGAGGACAGGAGGTCGGAGAGAACAGCTTTCAAGGCCTCCATCTGGGGCCCCAGATCCCTGTAACACCAAGGGGAACGCAGAGACCGTCGCTTATACTGTCCCACACGAGAGCCTGGGAAGGACACTTGGATATCCGGACACTTACCTCAGCTTTGTTTCAGACATCTCTGTTGATGCTGGCAGCAGTAGAGAGTCGAGAGACGGTCCACTAGCTAGCGCAGGAAGAAATCGTTAGGAAAAGAGGAGGGATTTTCAAAAAGTGCGCAGTCAGCACAATTTCAAATCGCGGGAGAAATTTGATTGGTCGGTTTAGCAGCGCGCGCCGCAAAACAATTGGCGCGAAGCTCAAAGAGATAGAGAGATGGACACTCGTGGTAGAGCTGCCGAGGAGACGAAAAACATCGTGTACTTGGAAAGACTCGTGGAAGAGTTTACCCACTGGCAAGAGGTATATTGATCTGTACACATACAGATCTTATATTTGCCCACACGTTTGCCCCACAGTCGACAGCAGAGGTAGTGGAGGAAAATGCTAGACTCCACACAGAGATCAGTGGGCAACAGAAGTTGAACGGACTGCAAAAGCAAGAGCTAGCTGCTTCAAATGCAGGTAGCTACTAGCTATACCTCTCCATGAAAATGGGCATTTTATACACTTACTGCACATCTCAGAGACTGCACAGCTGCGACAGACCGTAGCAAGCTTGCACAGGATTTTATCCAAGAGATGGGACATGGAGGGTAAAGCAACCCAATGTTGAGCACAGACACGTATAATATGTGATATGTACTGCATATGTTTATTATGTTACAGAAGAGAATGGTCAGCTCAAAGAGAGAATACTGTTCACGCAGTCAGCTGCGGAGCAACTGGAGGAAGTACAGAACAATTGAAAACTCCTGTTGTAAACAAGTGTCCTGTGCCCTATTATATACGTAGGAACACCGGAAACAGATGTCAGAAGCTGTTGAGAACCTTAATGCGGTACACGAGGCCCACAAGAGAGAAATTGCGCAAATGCAGACCTCTGCCAACCAACAGTGTGGGTGTCACATGCACCACTCTGGAACTAATATTATTACACTTCTTGTTCCAGCTAGGCGTGAGACAGACAGTCTCCAGCACGTCATTCAGGAAAAGAACGGAGAGATCAGACAACTGCAGAAACAGCTCTCCGATGTGGAGCGAGACAAGCACACTGAACTAGTCAAACTCAGACTCGAGGTAAAAACTGGTGTGTTTACCTCTCAGTGTTGACTGTGGAGGCGGTACAGACCACTGTTTCTTTTGCACCTACACACAGTACGATGCCAAGCTACTGAAACTACAGAAGCAGACATCAAAGGCACAGACCACACAGCCGTCGTCGGTCAACAACGACATCTTCAGAAGGGTACTCCACACTTGTAATGCTTTGCCGTATGCTTTGCCTCCATTCATCCTTTTGTGCACTACGCGTTCACTAGTCGTGGGTTCATGTTGTCTGTTAACAGAAACTGCAGAATGTAAAGGCTGAGTCGGAGAGAGAGGTGTCCTCACTGAAGAAGAGGGTGCAGGAGCTGGAGAGACAGCTCAGCCTGGCCACAAAACGTCGGAAATTGTGATAAACCACTAAAACTGTCCACCAAGTAGTGCAGTGAATAAACATGTGTATAGTATATATAATTGTAAATGTTACCATAACTTGCTACTGCTGCTGCTACTACTGTTGCCTAAGGAGCGTCGGAATCGATCTATGAGCTGTGGAATACGTGATATGTTGTCGTCGGCACATTTCATGAGGCAACTGTCTGCATGTCTCTGTACTTTGTCCACGTCCTGCTGTGAAGCGTTGGGTGGAACCATGTCACGACATTCATCCTCACACGTCTGCGCACAGCGTGTCAATCTCCCCTGCACGCAAACAGACACATGAGCAAACACTCAAATACTATATCACAACATCTGTGGTGTCGATATTAGGGATGTGAGGTTGTATACCTGAAACTGCTCAACTTCAGATTTGAGACTTTGCTCGGCCTCCATCATTGGCCTCATGCAAGAGTGTAGGCACTTTTGCAGTACTTCTGGCGAGCACTGCTGGTCCTCACAGCATTTGGCACTGCACAGAAACGCTTTCCTCTGTACCAAGAGGTAAGATTTTAGACGTTCAGATTATAAAATTTTGCGTGCCTTACTTGCATTGACCTCATGCATTCCTTCTCCACCATTTCCAACTCTCTGTTGAGAGCTGCAGTTATCTTGTCTTCAGCTCCTCCAGCCATTTTTGGCACGTGTCTGAGGGGGCGGGGCCAGCCTACCCAGAGTATACGGAGTTTCGGCACATACTAGTAAACTAACGAGACACAGCACCCCCTATCTCCGGCGCGCGCGCGCGCAACCTAACACGACCGGCTCTGCTCTTTGATTGGTCAGTTTTCTGTCGCATGATTATACACCCGGTTACATACCGGTAACGATAGCACACATATAAACTACGCTCCCTACAATATTGTACAGGTTTGCAACCGGTTTTTAGCCCGCACATTTCCGCCGATAAACGAGAGAAGAAACCGCGACCTGTCACGACGCTGTCCCCGCTTGGCTTCTCCCTCAAGACCTACAAAGGAAGCAGGACTTTCGTTCTCCACCTCGGCAACCAGAAAAGAATCACTGAGAGAGGACGTGCATCCGTGCGATGGAAAATAGATTTCTTCGGTTGTATAGTACAGAGAAGCAGCGATTGATACGATCCATGTCCGAAAATTTATTCGCCTGAACTCTTCTCCTCCTCCTCTTCTCCCAAGAGATCCAATCATACCGACCGCTCCTCCCGGTTATCAATGGCTTACGTTCGTCGTAACCCCTTGCCTCTACAGCTAGGTAGCACGAGCAGAATTACTTTCGCCCAAGAATTCGCCGTCAGTGCCCTCTCGGCGTCGCTGGCCCACATCCCCCACCACCCGCTGTACACACTGAAGAGCCAGATGATGTTCTACGGAACAGAGTTTAGCATTGTGAACTTCGTGAAACACACCAAGAAGACGAAGGGCACGTTCCTTTTCCAAGGTATGTGATATGCGACGGCGGATTTACCGTCAAAGTGCTCTTTGCTGTGTGTACAATAGCACGTTTAACGACCTACCGGTCCCTAGGCTTCTGTCTCACCGGGCTTCTCTCTCACGTTCTCACTTCTTGCAGGTCTTATCCCCAGAACGTTTGGCATTGCCCCGGAGAAGGCCCTCAAGATGCAGGCCTGGGTCATGGTCGGTCGCTGGGTAGACCGCCACGTTGAAAATCCCACCATCACCAAGTGGATGCTGGCTGGTGCCAGTGCTGGCGCTGCCACCACCCTTATAGGTGAGACCTACTTCCTGTGGGTGGCCCTGTCAGAGTGTGTGTGTGGGCATATGTGTGCATGTGTTTTCTGTCAACTGCTGTGCCATTCAATGGATTGACAGACCTTCCTTTTGATTTCCCCCTAACCATATCCACACACTTCCATGCCATGGGCAGCAGCTTCTATCTAGCCTGAGAAGAGCACGACAAGACAAAGTGTTGTCTGACTTCCTACCTACTACGCCTACCTGCCTCACTACCAACTTTACTGGGTTGCAAAAACACTGTGTGTTGGGTGCTCTGTAGGTGGTTGCCTTGCAAGAGGTACAGCCTGCAGAGCCCCCGGTAGACACACTGGAAAGCCTGGGGAATGTCCACCACCACTGTGTGTGCGTGTGTGTGTGTGGAGTCCCCCTACGCATGTGTCCCCACCCACCCACCCCCACCCTCAGGTTGCCCGTCCGAACGAGCAATGGTCCTGGCACACATTCAGAAGAAGGGCTTCATGGACGTGGTTCGCAGCACCGGTATCCGTGGCCTGTATCACGGCTTCGAGCCCACTCTCTACAGAGACGTCACTTTCAACATGGCCTTCTTCACTTTCCGGGAGATCATTGTGCGTCTCTACCGCAAGCACTACGACAGCGACCCGGACCCCTTCCAGAGGACTGTGATGGGAATAGTGAGTGGGACAATGGCGTCTGTGTTTGCCTGTCCTTTCGACGTGGTTAAGACGAGGATCCAGGGAGGCGAGCTGGCTACCACCGGTGCATCAACCAGTGAGTGCTTTGTGGGTGCTTCACCCCATTCTCACATGACCTCACATTACCTGGCATGTGACCGAGGTGTGTGATCATGTGATGGGGCCCGGTTTCCTCTGGCATGTACTGTATGGAGGAGTTACCTGTATGCCAGGAGGTCTGTTGTTATCCCATCCTGGGTGCATGTTGTGCAACAGTGGAATGACACACCTGTGGCACACCTTTTGTAGTCCTGTCACAGGCCCTGCCACCTTGCCACACAAGGGAATATTATCATGTGTTGGTGGTTTGCAGATGGGCATTATTTCTAGAACCAACTTCCTATTCATGCCCTCACTTGTTATACTTTTACTCCTGTTATGTAACACTTGCAGCCAAGCAGAGTGAGTGGGCCCTAAAGCTCCTATGGAACATTTCGCAGCGCGAAGGACCCCGCACTCTACTGAGAGGCCTTGGACCAAGACTCATTGCCGTCCCCAGCTATATGTCGGTCTTCTACGTAGTGAATGAGGAACTCGAGTGGCACTTGCTGAATAAACGACTGACTAACTAAGCATGATAGGGCATTTTTATGTGTGTTCTCTTTTTATCATTTTCCTTTCATCCTCTGTGTGATTATCATGTCTGTTATCACTGTCTGTTCAAATAGTCTGCCTTACCATTTAAGTTGAGTGTGGCTTGCGAGAGTTGGTTTATCTATGGTGGAGGGGCAGTTGCTGTTTGCATTGTTCTCTGGCAGTGGGCCGACTTTGGGTTATATAGTCAGTGGTGTGTGGCAGGGATAATGAGGCATGTGACATGTTGTTTGTACAGTCAGCACAATTTTTCGTTAGTGAATGTCCAAACTTCGGCTGGGCTTAGGGTTTATACTAGGGAGGTTGGGATAGCGTGATAGCTGCACACTTCCCCCAGAGGATCATGGTGCCACTGCCGTCGCCCAATTGTTGCCGGATCAATAGCAGTGTGGGCTGAGGTGGATATTATCCTAATGTGTCACATTCCTTTGATGACGCGGAACCGGTCGTCGCGCGCGTAGCGCTAGCGTGAATAATCGGACGTCCCGCAATGGCTGCAATGCTAGGATGAAGACGCCGGTCGTGCAATCGACAGGAAACTCGATCTGTCCTCGCCTCCCGTGAAATGGAAACAAATATATGTATTGTAGATCTGTCGAGCTCAGAACCAGCAGTCAGCAACAGTGAAAAAGTGTACTTACGAGGCCGGAGGACTGCACTGATCGGTTGCCGTAGGAATCCTTGCCGGAAGAGATGGACAAACTCGTTCGAAAACCAGGAATCCCGCAGAAAATCCTAGGAGGGTCTCTGGCGGGAGAGTTAGAATATGTGGACAGTCTTAGACCGGCGAAGAGAAGCGACGTTACGGTCGGACGGCAGCCGCCGGGACCTGGCGAGCAGCAGTCGGGAAAGTTGCGAATATCGCAGAATATCGCCGTCAGCTGCGTATCCGCGTCGCTGGCGCACGTCCCGCATCACCCGCTCTACACACTGAAGACTCAGATGATGTTCCACGGAAAACGATTCAGGCTAAGAAACTTTCTTACCATGGCGTGGGAGAGCAGAGGCACCTTCCTAATGCGAGGTATATATATAGCTAGAATCATCCAAGAACCACTGCACTTTACTGCAATGCCGTCTGTGATGTTGCAGGTGTCATGGTACGATCCATTGGAATCGCTCCAGAAAAGGCTCTCAAAATGGTGGCCTGGGACGGAGGAATGTACTTTGCCAACTATGCATACCCTCAGTGCCCGAAGGGTCTCCAGTGGGCATTTGGAGGAGCCCTAGCAGGAGCTGCAACAACCATCATAGGTGAGTCAAAAGACAAACACGAGTAAGAGAAGTTGCATCTGTATGTGGTTATCGGAGGACACTAACCCTTTACCTTCTTCATCGGACTACCGGCTCATTGATAATAAAATATTAACACGTTGCAGCCGTAGGCATGCAGGATCAAATTATGGCCATGCATTCAATTCCTCTGTGTGTGTCGTCACATTCGAGTGTTCTGTTTTCTGTCGATCGCGCATGCACTGGGTAATCTAAATCAAACCAAACCCCTACAATCTGTGTTTCACATTGCGTACAATCCTGTTTCAGGTTGTCCTTCTGAGCGCACCATGGTTCTGGCACAAGTCAGGGGAGAGACTTTCTGGGAGATTGTGCGATCCAGGGGAGTGAGAGCGCTCTACAATGGAGCCATGGCAACGCTCTACCGAGACATTTCCTTCAACTGTTGCCTCTTTGTTACAAGGGCATTCGTAATGAAGAAATACGAGGATAGAACCGGCGCAGAGCCCGGACCTTATAGGAAGATTTGGTACGGGTTGCCTTCTTCGATATTGGCCGGGGTTGTTGCGTGTCCTTTTGATGTAGTGAAGACACGGATCCAAGGAGTCACAGAAGGAGGTATGTTTCACAAATGTGATTGCTAGAGCCCCTGCTCTAACGATCTATTATCTGTTCTTTTGATACCTCTAGGGGAAGTAAGACCACTGCTTCGTATGTACCAGATAGCCAGAACGGAAGGGATACGTCAGCTTTACAAAGGACTCTTACCACGCCTCATCGCCGTCCCGTTGTACATGTCAGTATTCATCACAGTCAATGAAGAACTTCAGAAGTACATTCTTGGTAGACGGATTGTCTCATAACAGCTGTTGGTTATACAACACTATCATCCGCTGATCAGTTTGCCAATCTAGATTGGCATCTTCTCATTCTCGTTGTGTGTGTTTTTGTGTGTTTCAGATGGTATATTAATCCCACCTTGTTTATTCATAAAAAATTTTTGATTCCTCCAAAGCATAGTTTCACACACACACTCACACACACACACACACAGTGTAGCGGAGGTGTTGGATACCAATGGGACACCAGAACCAGTGCATAGCAACCACTGGGGACTTCTGTTGGTGTTCCACCAATAAGAGATCTAATGATTACCAATAAGGACTGCTTTGCTCTCAATACCACTTCCCAGACTTCCTTGGCCTCGCAAAGAACTCAGCTTATATATACACCCACCATAGACATTTCACAGGATGTATTATACAGTGTGACGGTTATAGTGGGAAAAACTCCTGGAATGATTGTCACATGACTACTGTGGTGTTTACCACTGTTACTAGCTTTCCGCGTTTGTATTGTGAGTGTATATAATGAGAGGGATAGCTTTATTGGACAGACCCATTATCCACACACCTTGCTATAGTATACCAATCTCACGCCAGTTATATAGGCTGTGAAAGATTGCTGTGAATGGGTAGTAATAATCAAGGCAAGGACACTACCACTGTAGCGGCAGATGGTACGCTTCAGAATAATGAAGAGAGACGGAACGAAGGGGTGATTACTACAGTGCAGAGTAAATATGCACTCATGACACACAATGTGGCAACTCACACAACCGGTTCTCTTCGCATCATGTGATTGGCTTGCTACCTTGAGCCATAGTAAACACAATTGTGTCCTGAGAGCACTGTTGCATAATCGCACACGCTGAACTAATACCCAACTAATACCGGTGACACACAGATGCCATACATGCAAAAAATAGTCATTAAATCAATAGAACATTTTTTTCCCAAATTTCCCTGCCACGCGTCCCCAGTGTATATAGAGGCCATCGAGAGGCAAGAAGCAGCCCAGAGGGAAATAGAGGAAAGAGCCTACTGCACACAATTCTATAACATTTGGCGAATGAGAAATTTCACTGGCTCAACGAACAGTTAGATAACATCACGGTATTAAAACTGCCACACTATATATGACCAGGTGGGATCACTTTGCTCACCCAATTACAGGCATTTTACTTCTATACTTTATATATTATACATATGTGGTTGGCAATGATGGGTGGGAGCTATATAATACATCAATGGCAGTTGATTATACGCTGTCTTTTGAGAAGAAGGTGTTTAGGGCTTGTAGCCTTGCTTGCAGATTGTCTGCCTCAAACACTGGCTGGCTGTGGGCCAACAGTTTGAAAGCGTTGCTATAGTCCTGGAGCGAGAACTGGGCCCCCTGCTCGTACATCTGGTGGAGGATCTCCTGAGGAGGGAGGGGGGAGGGGGGGACACAGAGGAGGAAAGGGTGAGAGAGGGGTAGAGGGAGCCATTGCAGACGGTGTGTAACTCGAGAGCCTTTACTGCTACGTACTGCCATTTCACATAGCAGGGGAACGTTCAAGGGAGCAACTTTTATGCTATTTTCCGCAGTTTGTTTTCTCCAAGATCTTATGCTGTAGGTACGGACCATTTGTACTGTGGACAAGCAATTCACTATAAATCATTTTTGCGATGGGAATAGGATCTCCCGCCATACAGCTGGATGGTCTTACTCTATTAGAGCTGGCCTGCGGGCTATGGTAACAATCCGATCATGTGGCAGCTCTCAACATACACCAGGAAATTCAACACTGTCTACTTCCAAATACTGTCTATATACTAAACCTATGTAAGCATGTCTAGCCTTCCTACAAGACACTAAAACTAGGGTAAAGTTACTACATTCATACTGGGAGAACCCGGTACACACTATACTTTCATCCTGTTTTTTTCACTGACACACACACACACACACACACACACACACACACAACACACACACACACACACAATAACCACTTTCACTTATCTAACCCATATTTGGACCGCCACCTGACATCCGTGCTATTATACTAAACACGATGCTACACTGACACGGAGAGGGTTTAAAGTGTGTGTTAGATGTATACACCTCGTCGTTGAGATAGAGCATCTCGTAGTATCTTCTGGCCCGGTCTAGGTCCTTCTCACGAATGAGGGTGATCTTTGACAGACACGACTGCAGAACCGAAATGTTGCGGCACCTGTGTGCGTGTGTGTGCATGTGGGCAGGTACATGACAGGGTGTGTGTAAATAGTTTTGTCTGGGTGAATCAGTACATCGAAACAGATTCGCTGGCTTCATTCCAAAGTATACAGTGTCTCACATTTTCTTGATTCCGTGAGTGCTGATCTTGCGCATGAAAAAGGTACTCCCGATGAAAATGGAAGCGACCAAGTGACCCAGCCCATCAAACAGATATCTAGTGAGTCAGCCAGAGGTGGTGGGGGGAGAATAAGGTATTGTGGGTAGGGAAAGAAGTAGGAAAACAAGTCACGTGGAACACTTCTGGGAGAAAACTTTGTGAGTTGCATGCAATCAGACAGGTATACTTTTCCCTCAGTTTTTCCTGCTATTGTTAAAAATTGCAACAGACCTCAGTTTCTCTGGCGTGAGAACTGCAGACATGACCATCTCGATGCTGCGGAGGTCGGAGGCCAGCTGCTTCACCTGTTGGTCCTCCCCCACGTTGCCCGGGTCAAACACGTAGTGGACCTGTACACCAGCGTGTTGTGTGTGTGTGTGTGTGTGTGTGTGTGTGTGAGAAAGTGATTCACACGAAAGAGCATCCCTCATTGAGTGTATATCATCCCTCATCATAAGGTTGTTGCTCATGGTGAATGTTTCCTATAGAGCAAGTCACATGGCACACAACTCTGTCCAATAGTTACAGGAACTATCCAATAACCAATGTATACCATTCCTGACACCCTACTACCTACCCACCATGGCCGTGGGTATGTCACAAAAGGGTATCATGTGATAGTTTGAAATGCATTTGGTATCATGTGATAGTTTAAGGTGTATTTTGATTGGCATGTGTCTTTTAGGAGTCCTGATTATGTTTGATTAGTGCATAGGTTGGGGTGTCCTGATTCGCGCGTAGGTTGGGGTGTCCTGATTAGTGTGTAGGTTGGGGTGTCCTGATTAGCGTGCTGTCCTGATTGCTATGTATATAACAAAGTTCTACCAGTGAGTGGTACACCGCAGGCCCCAGTAGAAAAATTTGTTCCACCAACAGTAGAGGTTAGCCTCGCTCCCAGGCATCGTAAGGGAACGAGCGAGGTTTGGAGAAGGGTCGTCCTCACCTTATGCAGGGCAGGTTGGAGGTAGTAGAAGCAGTGAGTCCGGACCTCCAGATGCAGCATGACCACCGTCGTCTCCGACAGAGCCTGGAAATCAAACTGGACCTTCGACAGCTGCCTAAAGAAGAGAGAGAGAACGAGAGAGAGAGAGAGAGAGAGAGAGACCAGGGACATGGAATTAACTAATGTACTAAAGGAAACACAGAGAATCTCATTACTAGTGGCAGTAAATACACACTACCAACAACTAACACACTTCAGGTGTATATACTTACTGAAAGGGAAACTTTGTGTGTTAGTCTACTCCCCCAAGTATAGTATACCAGTGTGACTTGTAAGATGGTGCTAAGGTGGCAAGGGAAAGCAAAACTACCCAGGGCAACAGTTTTTGTGCATCATGGGGAGAGTGTGTAGAGATAGTTGTGTGGAGCCTCACTCTGTGAGGTCAAGGGGCACGCCCTCCGTCTGCTCCGTCACACTCTCCTCGTAGTACTGCGACGACATCGTCGACATTTTGGCACCGTCGGTGGCGAGGACGCCGGCCCCCGACCTTCCCAGCTCCATCACCAGGTGCTTCAGGTGGCCACTGAACCAGTCCTGGACATAGAGATCACATGCAAGAGAGTGGGAGAGACAGGAGGGAGATACTATAAAGGGGATTACCCCAGGAAAACTCATATGGCAGGGCAGCGAGATGGCCCAAAGATCTGCCACAAAACGACACATTAACAGTGTCTGAATACACACAGTGATGTTTTGAGTCTGAGGACTTGAGTGAGTTTCTCAGTCTTCCTCGAACTGGAATTGCAAGCTGTAGGTGTGAGTATTAACTCACCAAGCTCTCTTGCAAGATTCCGAGCAGTTTGAAGGAGTTGTGGTCGAGGAGGACGTTGGACTTGCGCAGCGACTCTCGCCCGAGGTTGGACACGAGCAGCTGTGATTCCTCCATCACCAGCTTGCTCTCGTCCTCTGTCGGATGTGGACTGTTCCCGTACAGCCTCTGCCAGCTCGGCAGCAGCCTGGGGGGAGGGCGGAGAGGAGAGGCGTGGCCAAACTTTATCACTCTCTTCGTTTCAGCCGTGGAAACATCAACGAGGTCAGAGCGCAAAGGCAAACAAACAAGTCAACTGCAAGCACAACACTCGCCATCTGCTTGACTGTGCCTTGACTGCCAATCAATACAGTTAGTGTTGTGGGAGTGTGTGCCTTAGTTGACACAGTGTGTATGCACATGCCCCCTTCATTTCTGGAATAACTTCCCCTTGTGTATATACAAGCCCACCTTCAGCATAAACAGTGACACCGCACATCCACACTGATGCAGATGGATATGTATGTAGTACGTGCATATTTACCACACACACGGGAATAAGACGTCCAGATTCCTGTGCTACTGTGCACTATGCATGTAGTCTAAATAGAGAAGCTAGCTATATAATTACGTAAGCACATGCAAATACAAGCGAGTGTGTGGTGTGTGGTGTCCTGACCTGATCTTGAGGTTAATGTCAGGGTCTTTGGCCCATTTTGAGCTGACGACATAGTCTGCCCCTCCCCCTGTCCTCCCTCCTCCCCCTCCTCCTCCCCCTGTCTTCCCTCCTCCCCCTTCACTGACCCAAGTCAACTCTGACAGAGAGAGAGAGAGAGCAGAGAGTCTCCGTCTCATACATCGTTCATACAGTATCATGATGGGTGGTTGTATGCATCGCCTCTTCTTCCAACTTCAGTTCACAATACAGTACCACATTTTCGCAGTCAAGTTTTCTTGAGTAGGTAAGTCCTGATCTGCAAAAACGACTAACTTTCGTTCTATACGTACCACATGCATGCACCAGGGTACAGTGCGTAAAATGCTTCTTTGGTAATATTCTCAGAAATCGGAATAAAAATAATTCTACTTTGTGTCAACGAACAGGATCATGTACGCAATCATACGTACCTCTGTACATGTGGTTGCAAGAGTCTCGGTATCTCTCGAGGAGGCTGATCATGATCTGCAGGAAGTGGGGGGAGTAGAGAGACAGGTTCTTCATCAGCACCCGCAGGTCCTCCACCAGCTGCCACACCACCACCACACTCTGTGTGGACACACACACACACACACACAAAAAAACACGTGTTGCAAAATCGGGACGTGCGTTCATTCCACTACTTGCAGTTTGCATGCGAAAAGATTTTTGTGGTCATTTTATGCACATTGATAGCGATGAAATTTCCTCATACAATCATGCTATTTAGCTGTCTGTCTTCATTTGAGGCTGAAGGACATCTCTGAAATGAGGACACTTCAAATAGAGACGGGCAGCTTTTTTCTCCTCTATAGTTCTTGCAATTAACCCCGGGGAAAAGGACACCTGAACAAGAGGGAGAACAGCTCACATTTAGGACTTGCTGTTTGGAGCCGACAATTTTGGAGGTCTTCTGGTCACTGGCTGTTGTTCTGGCCACCTCAGCTGTGTTGAAAATGGACACATTATCCACACCCTCACTCTCATTTCCCCTCTCCACTGTCTCCTTCTCACAACAATACATTGGTGGTGGTATATAGAAACTGGGTAAATACGAGCAAATGATCCCCCTCCATCCCTCTTCTCTCATTTTCCCCTCTCCACTGTCTCCTTCTCACAACAATACAGGGTGTAGAAACTGTATAACAGCAAGTTATCCCCCCTCCAAACCCTCTCCCTTCTCTCTTCTCTCACCCCCCTTACTACTAGGAGGAACTGACATTTGGTGGCGTTCTCGAGTTTCTTGTTACAGTCGAAGGTGAGGCTGTCTAGGAAGTGATGCTTGACAAAGTCGTGAATGAAGTGATGAAGGCTGCAGCGCTTCCTGAACAGGTGGTCACACAAAGTGAGGAGAAAAAAGTGAGGAAAATTCGGGGTTGAGAAGGTGATACGAGAATAGGTCCATATATAGCTCACCCTTGTAGACACATAGTTGCTTCGATTTCCTTAATAAAATCTCTAACTGGACCGAATATGACTGCAAGATCAGAGACGGAACATGTGCCATTACTGTCACTGGTGGGTGCACTTTGCCCTCCCCCCATTACGCCATATGTATGTACTGGATGTCACAAATGTATGGGCATAATGCTGGCCATCGATCGTCGCTACAAGTACTACTGTATTTGTAGTAGTGAGATACCTGTTATGTTTCTCTTGGAGGGCTTGCAGACCAGATGTTGGACCACCGCTTGTTGATCCATTGCCGCTCCACTGGCAGTGCCCCTCTCAACTCCCTGTACATACAATGGACACTACATGTTACTATACATGGCACATGGTGTACTAGAGAAAAGCAAGGTAAGTAAGAGGCTGCAAGTCAACGCTGTCCCTCGTGATCGGATTAACGTCTTCGTGATCGGATCAACGTCTGTTCTCCCTACCGTAACAATTCGCAACTCAGCAACCAACAAACACCTGCTTTATTACTCTCTGCCCACTTCATCAAAACTCCATTTTATGATGATGAGAGCAAAACAGTGAGTAGTTTGCCAACAACAGTCATAATATGCCCACACACTGTACATTATTATAGACTATTCTATAAACACACGAAGTGTGCACTACGCCATGTATTGGTGAGCACCAAAACATAATGAGAAATGGCGACACGGGAGAAAGGGGGGGAAACGGTGGTGTGAAAGCAGTGAGACGGTGTGCCTGGTTCATCTATCACCCAAACAACCCTAACCAACTGGTGAATTATTCACAACATGTGTACATACGAATATGGCACATGTGACAGGGGCACTCACCTCTGACCTGATTATCAGTACATCTGACCTTCTTATTACGGGTTCACCACCCATTGTGTCATTCACTTATAGGAATACTTTAGACGCGGTTTCTGGTCTAAGTGTGACCCGAATTAACGCATTCCCCAGTTGTTTTTTTTACAACCTCGGCCAACTCCAGATCTCTCTGCTCCTTCATGTAAGAGTTGATGCTGATGGCGTGTCGCGAGCTGTCGAAACGGAACGAGAGTATGCCATGCCCCTTCCTCCCCGTCCGTCTCTTGGTGGCAAACATGGCCTGGACGTCGCTGGCTCCCTGGAGGGCCGAGTAGCCACCCTGGTGGACCCCTTCCTCCTCGCTGCTAATGTACTGCTCCAGTGTCGTCTCCAACTGCAACAATCAGGGACGAAAGAACGAAACAGAATGGTGTATTTACAGCATGAGTAAACAAAGGTAATAATGGTACTTGTAGAGTTACTGTATCAGTTGGCATAAAGTTACAGTGGGCGATACTAAAGGAACTTTGAAATTACACGCTACATAGTTACACTATAGGCAGGCATACGGTGACATCACAACTCTGACAACAAAAGGGCCCGGTAAAATGTCTGCTTTTAGGCAGACAGGCAGAAAGAAAAGAGACCTCACCACGTGCTGAATGGCTTGCCAGACGTCCACCTCCTCATAGATCTGGTATTCACCTATATTATACAGGGACACCCACATTATGCTACGATATAAGTCCCGGATTATGTGTATGAAAGTCTTGAGTAACGGTATAATATATGGTTGCTAACCGTTGTAGACCTTCTTGGCCGTGTGGAGGTGTGACAGGAGGACGGTGTGGGCCTGCACGACGCTGTGGAACTTGGCGAAACAGTTTGAGAGCAGCTTGCGCAGGAGCTTGGGGTTGTTGTCCCTCAGTGCTCTCCTGCCCAGTGGCCCCGCCTCCTGCTCCTCCCTGCATACATACATACAGACGGAACTGATCTCTTCCTCTTCCTCTCTTCTTGCTCTCTTATCATTTCAACCCTCTTTAATTAGCGAATGTACTTGTCCTTATGTGCAGTTTTCCATATACATCACATATCCTACGGCACTCTCTGATAGGGCTAAAATATATACTAGACTGAGCTAGGTAGACTCGTCATAGTTCATGTTGGCATTGTCTTCCTGGACTAGTGAAGACCAGTGAAGTTTGAAGTATGATCCTACGGCACTGCACTGTCACACATCTGGCACTGTCACACACCCCATACTATTACTCTACTCACTCCTCTTCCTCCTCCTCCTCCTCCTCCCCTCCTCCTCCCCCTAACTCACTGTCTTGTGACTCTGATGGACTCCCTCTCCACTATCAACACAAACTCTCTCTTCATACGATTCCCTATAGCCTGCAGACAGACAGACAAACACCTTAAAACCACTGCTAATCCCAATACAGAACACACACACATCTAGAGCCTCTTCGACTCTCCCCAGGGTGGAGAGGGCTTCAATTAGAACTGCCATGTAGTGACTGCTGTTTTCCTCGGGATCTCCGGTCAAGTCCTCCACCACCTCCTGCAAACACCCAACAACATAACAAAAAGCTCTTCAAGAACACACACACAATGGACAATGAACCTTAGGACTATAATCAGGTCTTATGGGGCATCATACCACTTTTTTGTTAAGGATATTCCTCCATTCTTAGCCACGAACATTTTCAAATTCTAACCCTCCAAAACTGGCGACTTAGAGAAAATATGAAACCAGTGCTAGTGTAACTCTGTTCCTCTTACACTCTCGTCTTCGGGGATGGTTGGAGGAGGTGAGAATGTCGTGCTCTCTTTCTCCATTGCAAGTGACCCTACACACACCAACACAGTGTGAATGATAATAACCAGAGAATAGTAGCACCCAAGCCATTGAGCATTCAGTGATACCGTATTACTAAAAAAATTGCTGAATTTAAATCTGCCAAAATCCCTAGCAGTACACATATATACACTGCGTGTGATGACAACGAGATTTAATTTAGCAAAATTTTATAGCGTCGTTTCGGGATAATAACCAAATGTACGGTGGCCTACTCAATCAGTTCAAATATACTGTGTAGGTGAAAGACCAGCAATGGAATAGTACAGTGGTATGTAGAAGTGATACGGTAAAGGTGGTATTCTATATAACTCACTTGATGCTGAGCGAGACTGTCTGGTTGCTATAAGTGGAGAGAAGAGGTGAAGTAAAGAGGGAAGGAGAGGCGAGAAGGGGTGAAGTATCATTACTGGGCTGTCATTAAGTAATACTTGGAAGACGCTAAAGGTTTTCACTTGAATACGTTGCATTCGTGCTAGTAGTTAACCCATTCAATGCACAGTGCAAAGTACGAGTGGCTGGCTAACCTGCTGTTTGTCTGCGTGACGGGGGAGGGGAGGAGGAGCCAGGATTGTCGGAGGAGGCAGAGGAGGAAAGAGCTGCCACTGTGGCTGGCTGCTGCTGGTCTCTGGGGGTGGCCTTCCGGGCCGAGGCCTTCGTGTAGAGGTGACGGTGGAGTTCGTCTATCATCTCCTCGTGGAGCCTCCCTTTCTGCTGAATCAGCTCCTGTCGCAGATCTCTGTGGGGAGACAGAAACACCGAGAGAGGGAGTGGAAAGTATGCTCAAACTACTACATACTGTGGAAGTGTACAAACGGTACAATAGGTAACCTCAGAATAATGTGACAGTATAGCTTTTTTCACATCTGCAATAATCTTGCTCCCAACTCTAATTGCAATAGAAAACCTCATAATTGCCATACACTCCTTTCAGATCATGTAGTGAGGACTAAATGGTAGTATGTAGTTACTGTATAATGGGCGTATATATACCTGAGAGCCTCAATAGCAGCCAGTTCTCCCTCGAGACGAGAGACTGTGTTCTTGACAAGCTCCGTGGCATGGAGGAAGTGTTTGCTGGCTCTGAACTGTTGCAGCTGCTCCGGTACAGACTTCACTTCCTCACTGCATTTGTACATATGTAGTGGTCAGGGAGGGAGTCATGGCAGGAGAGAGGGGGAAAGTATATCCAGTGGTGGGAGAGAGAAAAGAGAAAAGAGAAAGATGGGGGGGGGGAAAGAGGAGGGGGGGGAAAGGAAGGAAGAGAGAAAGAGGGAGAGGAAGAAGAGGAGAAGGGAGGGAATATACGATGGGAGGAACATGGAGAGCAGTGAGCAGAAAGAGGGTTATATATCTGTCACCAGAAAACCATGGTGCTCAATGCTCTACTACTCATTCAGTACAAGTCAACACACGTACAAAACAGCACCAAGGCTGTAGTACATGCATACGTACGTACATGGTGTCGATGAGCTTTAGCTGGTGTTTGAAACGGACGTCCTCCAGCCACAGTCTCTTCAACTCTCTCGCTTGCAGCGCAGCAGACTCTTGGACGACTGCAGGTTCTTCTTCAACCCTCGAATCTTTTCCTGCGAATCTTCACCACACAGACAGATAAAGACTCACCCATACACAGGTTTGTAACCTCCAAACATGGCAAATGTTTTGAAAAGCTGCTCATACCAAACTGTCGCTAATCACAGACAACAAAGTATGTGTTTACTATTTTCAATCAGTTATTGAATGACCCCCTTCTCACTAACGGTATCTCTTACCCCTGACACGATAGTCAATCTTTTCAAATGTATCGAGTGTGCTGTGGAGCTTGTCTTTGTGCTCTGTGTGAAAGACGGAACATATCATCACGTTTGGCACGTATACAAGTGAAGTTAAGACGGACGAGAGAAGAAAAAGAAGGAGTGAGGGAGGGCGAGAGGAAACGGAGAACAAGGGAGTGAAGGTGAAGTAAATGGGAGGATAAACAGAGAGAGGGAGTGAGGAATGGAGGGAAGAAGAAGGGAAGGAGAGAGAGGGAGGGAGGAATGGAGGTGAAGAAGAAGGGAAGGAGAGAGGGGGAGGAAGACCTCTGACGAGTGTCTCGAGTCTCTCTGAAGCCACGCTGAGATCGTCTTCCAGACGGGCTTTCTGCTGCATCCTCTCATCATCGTCAGTACTGAGGAGAAAGGTCACACATCAGTTCTCAAGGCTGGGCATCTAGAATGTCCTATTTGTGATGGTTATCATTTGATTGGAAGCGGGAGATTTGTGGTGGTTGGTTTTCGTTGGTACATACATACCTCTCGAAATAAAACAATAAAACAATAAATTAGAATCATCAGGCCCAACTGCTGAGCATGCTACCTATATATCACGAGAGGCTGACGTGACACAGTGTACTTACGATGTGTGGCAATAAAATTGCTGATGTTTCAGTTTGCATAAAACATTGGCCGACCATTATATACAACATGCACCACTAGTAGAACAAACAGACAGGCGGTATGACCATTACACGTGCATTAAACATCAAACTGTCCCATTTCACAGCTACTGTGCTCCACGAAGACGGACATGTGGAGTATGAAGAGCATTGTGAATGGATTTTCTTGGACGACTGATCAGCTAGGGCATGCAATGTCAACACCCTCCCTCTTTCCTCCTCCTCCGCCTCTTTCAAGCCTCCCCCACCTCCCTCGAGTAGATATTTACCTGTCAACGAGGTTCCGAATCACACTCTGAAGCATGGAAGACTGCAGGAAAAAAGGTGTATTCTCGCGTAATGACTAAAACACAGTGAGACACATGTTTATGTACCTGTGACATGGCGCCGCCATAGCTACTAGAATATCCTCCTCCTCCTCCTCCTCCTCCTCCTCCACTACCTCCGTAACTGGAGGAGCTGCTCTCGTACCCCCCAGTGCTCACATATCTTCCTCCACTACTGCCGTACCCTCCACCGCTCCCGTACCCTCCAGAGCCGCTGCCGAAGCCGACGCGGGCCAAAGACGGGCTCCCGTATCCTCCGCCGCCGCGGCTGAACCTGCTGTTCCCGCTACTGTAGGTGGAGTTGGGAGTGAAGGTGCGTTTCCCCCAGCCAGCCATCCTCGATCCCCGATCCTGCGGCGGTTTAGCTACTGGCCAAGCCACCACGCCTTACAGCTGGTTAATTTTCGGTGGGCGGGGCTATTGTGCGCGGCTCCAGACGGTTCCGCGGACCCAGATCCGGACCATTACCGACAGCCCCTTTAATCCGTCAGTTTGTTCTGCTGATGGGGAAACGCAGCACGCAGCTCTAGCAGTGCCAAGGCCGGGCTTGTTCGTGTTGCTTGCAGCTGGTAAGTACTTACCGAGAAGGCGGAGAGCGACGCCATGTCCAGCATCGCCATTCCCGGAGCCGTCTTCTCGTCCCTTGTGTTCCACCTCAAGAACGCCCCGTCAGATTCGGTGGGTCGAACACGTCTATACCGTTGAGCAAGTACATATCCCCTAGCACACGTGTTGTAGCATAGCGTCCGTACAATCTGCAGGAAGGGTTTCTGTACGGTGGTATGAGGACGCATCACGTGGAGAACATCACCGACACCCAGTCTTCGGGCACCAGAGAGGAGAAGAAACTCTGTAAGAAACTTTACAACCACGTTGCACGTGAGGCATGCAGGCAGCTGGTGCATGGACACACTGCTCCGCTAATGGCATCTCTATTGTGTGTATTATACGTGGAAAAGGACTATCGATGATACCTTATTACATTACCTGCGAATAAGAGACGTCACAGAATCAGGACACTTTCGATGTCCCGAAAGGTGTCCCTTATTCGGAGGTTTCACTGTATATTAGCCAATGTGGCACGAGGGTGACATCGTTTACTCTCCAGATGTGGAATCGTTTGTGTGTTTCCCCGAGCGGTTCAAGTTCTACGACCACTATGGCCGGCCGCACACCGAGAGGATCAAGGCTCTACTGGGAGACGACATGAAGGTCTGCTTTCATTAAACATTCTCTTATGCATAGACCACCTCTTCTCTGGTTTATCGGCCCATAGTTACCCTGCCCATCCCTATACTAAGTATATACAGTGCTGATTACTACCATACTTAGTGATACTCCAACCTCCGTTCCCCCCTCCCTCTCTCACTCACTCCTCTCTTGTTCTTCTTCTTCTTACCTCCCATCGTCCCTCTGTCCCCCCACCCCGACAGCGTGTCATTGGCTGGTTCTCGTGTCGTCGCAACTCCACCAACCGACCGTCCATGAGAGAGAAAGTGGTGCACAGAAGACTCACAAGCTGCCTCACGGGAGTGCCCTGCGAAGGTATCGTACTATACAGTAGATCGGCCCATGTCTGTGTACACTATTGTGAGATATGGATGCACTGTATTGACATACATAGTAAACTGCAAGGTTGTGGAGTACGCTATTTGTTTCCACTTGCTAGTGCATATACGACAACATACACATACAGTAGTTCTTCACTTGTGTGTGTGTGAGATCTGTACATCTTAAGTCTACCGGACAATACCGCGCTGGAGCCTGCGCAAAGACACTGGAATTCTGTCTACAGCAGCATACATAAAATCATGACACCTTTTCCCTTCCACCACGTGTTGTGCACTGTAGCAGAGAGGGATAGAGTATTTCCGGTGACTTTGCAATTGTCATGTCCCACTGTATTAGTGTCACAGGCTCCAGAGAGGGATAGAGTATTGATGTACGGAACCAGACGTACAGTTATGTGTTTGTTTGTGTGTCTCTGTGCAGATTTCCTGTTTGGACTAGTGACAGAGATGGTTGTCGAAGGCTCAATGGTCCACTCCACTGACTACTCCTTCCACAACTGGATAGGAACGTGAGTGAAAAGCTCTATCAGCAAAATTTTTCGTGCACAAATTGCGGAGCAAAGGGTTGCTCTTGACGTTGAACTCGCTCTTGACCCCCACTCCACTCAGTGTATAATTATACGTAGTAAACTATAGAGTGTCTCGTGTCGAAAAAAGGATCGTGAGGGCAGTTCTTTGGAGTAGCTTGTACGTTTGATTGTATAACTCTGCGTATCGTGTAAAAGTAGTGGCCGGCCAGCGTTTCTGGCATGCTAAAACCAAAAGTATTAACTTAAACGCAAACAGTTTTTGTTTGACTGTATCATATTACACAGATTGCAAGCAGCTCTGGGGGGCAAACACCCCACCCCTCCCTCTGTCTTGCAGGTCTCTTCAACCAGTGAAGGTGGGGATAGTGAACCTGCAGGTGACGGCCACAGTACCCTACCAGCTCTTCCCCCTCACCCCAACTCCCTCCTCCCTCCCCCACTACTCCTCAACCCTACAACAACACAGGTATATACACACTTTCAATGAACACCTTAGACACGACTCTTAGCAAGATGGTCTATCTCAACCTTGTCTGCTCACAGAACAAATTTCGTGAACTCGGAAGGACACATGCAACAACCGATGCTGTCAGAACAACTGTATAAGGCCATTCTGGGACGGTTAAAAGTGAGTTATGCAACAATATCACGGCGACGGATGAGCTTTTAAGAGTGTTGTGTGTTGGTGTGTTGCGTGCACTGTGGTGTGTCCAATGTAGCCGCTGTGTGAGAGTCTGTCAGAGGCCAGTTTGGCCGTCGAGAGGGAAGCGAGGGAGGTTGAGCAGCTAGAGAGACAACTCCAGGAACTGACGACACTTGCAGAGCCACCACCGGCAGAGGAACCAGGGAAAGACCCAGGTCAGCCTCTGTTTGTGTCTTGGGGAGCGCACATTGGCTGGCTATTTTAATCCAGATGGCAATGAACGCTTCTGTTTCTCCTATCTAGCTCCTGAACTAGTGCCAGACATCTTCATTGTTATTTGCACCCTCCCTCCCTCCCCCCCTTTTCCTAAAAGTTCTGTTATACCCTTCTCAGACTCTCCCTCGTCTTCTTTCTGCCAATCGTTCTCTCATTATCACTCTATGTCCTTTTTCAGCAGTGTCACAAGGGAATCAAACACCGTACATTGACTCGGATCAGACCACCATGCCAGTGATAACACCACTCACCAACGAAAATGCTACTAACAGGGATCACATAGAAATGGCACCACTCATAGATTTCGAGAGGGAGGCCCCTTTAGTAACGAACCCGTCCAAACACAACTGTGATGTCATAGATTTGACGTCGCCTCAATCTTCCAGCAGTGGACATACGCTGGTCAACGGGGGCACCACTCCATTAGATATACCTAACGACCAAGGTTTGAGAGGGAAGCCTGGTGGACATTAGGAGAGGTGGAGAGGGGGGAGGGGGAGAGGAGGGGCCAGGGGAAGAAGATGGAGACGTAAAGGATGACACAGCGACAGAGTCCATATTAGGGTCCCAGCAGGAGCTCTTTTAGCAGGAGGAGATATTTATTATACCACACTTTATATTCGACCATAGACCGACATTGTGTGTGTATCACATCGTCATGCACTGTTCGCATTGAATTTATTATGCTATGTTGTTATGAATTTTTATACATACTTTTGTGTGGAGCAATACTTAGTGACAAAACTTTGTGTTTGTATATATACCAAGGATTTTAACTTATACAAAGTAGCTAGGATCCAGATCCGGACTCAATGACATCTGACTTAATAAGCAAAGCATTTCACGCGCAAGCGCTAGAGATACAGTAATTACAAGATGACAGAATTCGTTCCTTGTGTGTCATCGTTGTGACACTGATATGTGAGATGTGGTCTAAGACTGTGTTCTGTTTGTCCGGCTTTTACCAGAGTCACTCGCACTCCCACTCCTCGAGGAGTTGCGAGTCGGCCTGCCTCCTCTACTGCTGCCCCTCCCCTGTCGGTACCCCTGCTGCCGACAGGGCTCACCATCCCTGAGACTGTGTCGTTTCTCTATGTAGCACTGGATCTCCGTCTCTACCGTCTGCCGGAGCCCCCTCGCCTCGTCAACTGCCACGAAACACTCTGGGAACCGCATACTGTGACGAGAGAGATGCAGATGGACAACTCCATATGTTGACACACGTGCAAAGAAAGTCACATTCACGGCTGTCTCTATGCTTGTCAAAGACAGTGAAGAAACTTTTCGTTGGTACACTTTGGTTTGCTTGTAAGTTTACAATCACATGTGTACATCTACACAATTTTGTTTACCTATTCAAGAGAGAGGCAGTGCGTTTGAAAGGTATGTATGATAGTAACACACCTGAGCCAAAGGTAGAGGTCAATGGCCTCGTGGATTCTCTCAAATATAATGAGTTGGACGGGGGAGAGAGGGGCTCGTTTCGGCCACCCAATCAATCTCACACAGTCTGGAGAACGTCACGTGTTCACCACAACTGTAGTCCGTCGCATACTGCGGGGAAAATTCAACGCAGACCCCATTTTGAGATATCATTCGGTCACGTTACATTGCTATGTATCTCTTGTGTACTAACTTTTAAGCATCCACGGTATAAGCATGAACCTGTTTGAGTATCTCCCGGCCATATTCTTTCTCTGTGGGGGCCAGACACATCTTGTACATGTCCCTCAGAGGTATGCTGAGTCCGTGGAGACAGCGGGCGGCCTCCAGCGTCTGCTCCACCTTGCAGAGGAAGAAGGTCCCATCGATGGTGGCCATCTTGAAGAAGAGGGAGAGGATGTCGAGAAACGAGGCCCCGGGCAACAGCTGGGAGAAGTGCTCTATCTGCTCACTCGTGGGGAAGATGCCCGCTTGCTAGAGAAGAGAAATCGTGGGATCTGAATAATAATATAGCAGCAAGAGGGAAAACATTTTTTAACTTGGCATCGTCTGTAAAGGATTCATACACTAAGTTCTATGGATAGGGCAGTTTGTATCTATAGTTGGATGGGGACTCTGAGAACGTTTTTTCTCCACAACTGTTTTCTTTGCCAACTACTGTATGAATATCCGTGGAGTTCATGTCTCAACAACTTGGTAACGAGGTAGAAAGGCAAGGCAAACATGTCAACTACACCCAGGACAGCTCTTTCTAAAGAAGAAGAGCTGCCCTGGGTGGGGTTCGAACCCACGACACTCTGCAGTCTAGGCGAGCGCTCTTCCAACTCAGCTACCAGGGAACTCAGCTGGTAGGGGTTCGAATCTACAACACAGCACAACACAAGGCAAGTACATAAAAGATGAGTGTACAGTGACACACAGTATTATGTATTATGTACATATATGGGCATAAACCTTGATGTCTTCTTCGGGGCTGGATAACAGTGAGTGGAGTTTCTTCAGGTCTTGAGGATAGAACCTGGGGAGAAATTGTACACACATGCAGGCAGTCGGGCATCAAGCAGTGAGTATATTGCATACAATGTCCTTTACTGTACAGCAGGACACATGTGTATAGTATAGGGAGAAAATATAGAAATATTGCACAGTTTGAACACCATCAAAAGTGTATAGGGAGCAATCCCATTATTAAAACACAATGCTCTACCATAGAGTCGGCATTTTCGTCAGGAAAAGAACTGACATCATAACGCGTAATTATATGGTTGAGAGAGAGAGACACAGAATGAGATGAAGATCTACTGGCCAGAGGTGACCCGCGACTCACGTAGTGACTTCTCCCCGGTCAAAGTCGAGACCGTAGCGCCCGGCCCGGCCGGCTATCTGCTTGAGGTGGGCGGAGGTGAGCTGGCGAACCTCCTGGCCATCAAACTTGGTGAGGTCGTAGAGTACGATGCGGTGAATGTTCCTGACAGTGAGTGGGGAGGGGAACACGGGCAAAACATCACTGGTTTAAACACAAGGCAAGCGCACATCAAACCACTTAATTCGGACCTAGGGAAATCAAGCAAAGAGTTGCCCTAGGTACATATGGAACCCACAACAACCTGCTCTCCAGCCAGAACATTCTACACCACAAATCATGTGCTCAGAGGTAGTCTAGCTTTCCAGACAGCCCGCTACGTGAGCACACCTGAGCAGGTTAAAGAGAGAGGGTCTAGGGCTATATGCTTACAGGTTGAGGCCCATTCCAATGGCGTCAGTGGCCACCATAATCTCGCAGGAATTGCCAGTTTCATTGAACAGCTCAGCTTGCTGCACTCTGGTACCTGCACGACGGGTGCACAATTAACACACAGTGTTCAAGAAGGAAAAAAGCTATTTGGTGGCAACTGGAAGTTTTCTGCAGCAAATCTGCTCGTCTATGTATAGCACAGTTTGTACTGCTAAAATCAGGCCACAAACATGAAAGTTCACAGGTTCAGTGAATGTGATTTATCCCTTCGATAGGAAGTGCATACTACACCTACCAGAAGGTAGACCACCGTAGATGACGGCACACGGCTGGTTAGTTGCTCTCTCGACCCTCCGACGAATCTGGAACAGTTTGTGTCGCGAGAAGATGACGACGCAGTCGCCTCTGGCCACATTCCTGAAGTCTCCCTCCAGACTACGGTCGAGGGGGACCAGGGGAGAGAGACGCTCGTACCTACACACCTGTCGTCCACCACCAACCGTATGCACAAGAGTAACAACAGCAGAGAGTAAAATGCAGGGGAAGCGCACAGAAGAGGAAAAGCACAAAGTACACACAATGACTCTGGAGAGGAGTCCCACAACATTATGAGGGGGGTGGGGCAATTCAAAGATGTAAGGACAAAGGAATACTGGTGTTTTAAAAAAGGGTGAAGTTAACATGTAGTATTTTGATGGTAGCGAATGCACATTTCACCCTTTGCAAAAGTGAGCAGACGGGACAATGTGAGAGGAAACAGGGGAGAGAAAGAGCAGGAGGGAAGGAACCAGTGTGACTGACCTCCAGTTGGTCTCCGATGGTGTCAGTCAGTCGACGGACCAGAGGAAGAGCACTCTCGTGGCCACACAGATGAATCTCCTCCGCTGGGAGACCTGTGCTATAGCAAAGCAGCTCCTTACACCACAATATGTACACTTCTACAACATACAAACGATTCTACTTGCAGTCCACAATGTGTGCAAAAAGATGTCTATTTATCACAGGAAATAGAGTGGCTTTGCTATTGGACACATTAAGGAACTACTGCTGGATGCATATAGAGAGTATATAGAGGCAGGCTCACCAAGAATAGCTCTTGTCCAGGCTCCTCCTCTGTCAGGGTCCTCGATCATCTGCACCTCATCTACCACTGCCACATCATCTGGTAGAACAAAGAAAAGGAGAAGAAGAAGAACATGAAGAACATGAAGAATGGAGGAAGGAGGATAAGAAGGGGAAAGGAGAGGAAGGAGGAGAGACAGAGAACGACAGAGGGAGCCAGCAGTAAAAAGGGGTAGGGGGAAGGAAAGCGGAGGTTCAAAGGAGAAAACAGGGGCTCACAGTAGGACTCGGTGTTGGTCATCTCTACTGTACAGGACAAGTGACCGGACGGAGCGTCGGGATCTCCACTGGCAAACTGCTTCTCGTCTCCAGTCAGCAAATCACAGGGGGTGCCCCTGGCGTTTGACCGGCGATATATCTCGTGGGCCAGCATGCGCAGCGGAGCGCAGTAGATGCCAGTGTGGGCACTCAGGAACCTCTCCAGTGCGTTGTGCGTCTTCCCGGAGTTTGTGGGTCCAGCGTGAAACACAAACCTTCTCTTGAAGGCTCTTGCTCTTGGGTACCTTTGCACAAACACACAAACACACTCCGGTGACAACAACTACACTCTGAAAAGTCTGTAGTCAGATATACATGTAGTTTGAGCGGAAAAGAGTAGCGCTCACCAATACAAATAGGTGAAGCACTTTCAGGAAGTCTCATAAACAGCACACGATGTATTACTATGTATGTATTACAAAAATAATTGAACTTCAGTGGAACCTTTCGAAAACCAAACTCCACAAATAAGGAAACGTCTCTAAGAACTACTCCATAATATGTGGAAGTATTTTAACCACTCAACAAAGGAAAAGTTGCTAAAACTTTCTTCTATCACATTAGCTAGTGTCCATATTAGACGAGTTCACGGTTAGTTATATCTTCATTTAGCATTGATCAGCACTGACCACATATGAGGCTGAGTGAGATCGCAGATCTTCTGTAGCTGAGGCACGACAGTGGCGGCCGGGTACGTCTCCCTCGTGTGGCTCAGGAAGTAGGGGAACAGGTCGTCAATGTGGGCGGAGCCGGCGATGATGTCACCTAGCAACTTGAAGAGGAGGGGCTGGCGAGAGAGGGACACCGTGTCCGCGAGACTGTCTCTGAAACTCTTCAGCGATCTCTTCAGGATCCCCTCTTGTGGAACAGAAACAGTGGGGGATAATATAATGTATTTGATCTTCAACCCACAGCTCAATTCTTAAGGTAATCTATGATGCTAGGTACCATGCCAATCCCTATACACTAAGTACTACCGTACTTAGTGATATGGGAAATCAGGTGCAAAAAGTATGGTGTACATATTGTACATGTATGTGTGCTAAAAGTGCCTATTATCTGGTGAAAATTCGGATAGCATGTCCTCCAGACAAAGATGAAGAGAATGTGTGGTTGTCTATACCTGGTTCAATTCTATGCACAAACCTGGTATCCCCATCTCGACAGCAGCCAGTTGAACACCAGGTCTCTGGGAGAATCCCTCCAGCAGTGTCTCCAGATCTCCTGGGAACCAATCACACCACACGTGAGGAAGGTCTACTGTGTACATTGTATGCAGTAACCCAAATCGAAGTATGTATGAATTCCCCTCTTTAAAAATGCTGGTCACGTTTAACCAGTGTGCAATTGTCTCACGGATAGTTGTCTGGTGACTCACCAGTGGCTAGCTGGACTCTTGACAGTCCACTATCACATGACTTGGGTGGCGACTGCTGGTCTTGTCGCAGTGGTTGGCCAGAGAGGACTCTCTTACTCACTGCTGGTTCCGCCATCCTGTCGTCTTCAACAGCTGCAGTCTCTGGAAGATACATACACAGAGTTGTAGCTAACACAAGAAGACAGGTTTTGTCTGTGTGTGTAATAGGGGAGGGGCAGTGGAATGCTTCTTGGTGTTTAAAACATGGTCTCTCTCTTCTCCCCCACGTGAGAAACTATATCATAGATATTAGAGCATGGCTATACCATCTACCACTGGAGGTGGCTTGGAGTTGAAAAGGCGAGCTGCCAGGGCGGCTATCTGGTATCCAGACCTGCAGTGGCCCCATGAGCCTCTGCGGAGAGTGAACACACGCACGTGGCGAGCACAGCGCCAACACACTCCAACAGCCGAAGTCATCTTCGAGCTTCAACCCATGGTGACCACACCCCTCTCTCGACCCAAACAGCGGGAAATTTGCGCATGCGTAAAGTGATTCTCACGTGGCCGCACGGCTGTTTCGATTGCGCGTTTTCGGGACATTAAGTTGTACGATGACGTAATTCTGAAATTTTGAAATTGTCGCCGACGCTTGTTCCGTTCCGTTTCTAGACAGCTCTTGCGGCGCACACGTGTCGTTTCTGCTGAGTTGGCAGTGCTGGCTTTGTGGACGAGACTTCGCTGAGCGTTTTCGTCCAAGCCGTTTCAAAATCCGCCGAACGTGGACTGCCTTACGTTCCCAAGTAGTATGGTCGACTCAAGCGGTCTTACTGTTCACTTGCGAATTTTCTCAGAAACGGATTTGCGCCAGAAACAAGGCCAAAGGATGTACCATGCCCAGGGACCTGAAGTTATTCTACTTCGCATTTTTCCCTATGCGTGGCAGAGCAAAAAAGATCTTGGTTTTTATGATACGCAATTCTTCATGTAAGTTTGATAACGTAGCTAATATGTATGTGTAGCTGTCACTCTGCTGCGATCTTCCTGCGCTTTGTAGGGGGGTTGTGCGGCGACATGACTGGGTAGGCTTTTCAGAATGTGCTCTGTAACTACCCGTCGAGCCTCTCCACGCGGGCGTGGCGCTGGTTTCGGTGCCTTTGCTCTATCTTGTTGAATTCGGCATGAATGCTCTCTGCCCCTTGCTCGCCCATTACCCCGAATCCAACTCCACCCCACTTACTGCTCCAACTACTTTCTTCCCACACCTCCTGGAGTGACTCGAGGAGCTTCAGCAGCACAGATGGAGCAGCCATTATCTGGGTGGTGTCCAAGACTCCAAGGCATGTGACTGGATGCAGCAGTGTGATGGTACATGTATGTTGCACCCATGCACAGACACATGATGTGGAGCATGGGAGTTGCAGAGGTCTGACTAATACCTCCAGACACAGTGGACACTCAACGTCACCGAGTGTGGGGTGGGAGGATGTATTCCAGAGCTTCCTGGGTGATGCGAGTTGGCGGTGGACCAAGTTGGGAAATGGGTCTTCACCAATCTTTTGCCGTGGCCCCAGGCAACCCTCACTGCTCTCCTCTTTCTCGGTCTGCCGACCTGTCGTGACCCACGGAAGTGGCCGCATGTCTATTTTAGAACAGTTTTTTTGTGACATACTATGTACACTTGGTTTTATTTCCTTACTGCACAGTTTTCTGGAATGTGTTTGTTCCAAATATGTGCTCTGGACATTGTTGGGGTCCCCATTGGCGTCTCTCTCTTCATTTTGAAGTAGCAAGCATGGCAGAATTCTGGCGGGTGAATCGCAGGATCATCTCTCACAGCCAAGACACTGTAGACAGCTAGAAGATCTGATGTGTGTGCTCTAACACTGTACTTGCTCTCCCTACTACTGCAGTGCTTCCCACACACACCACAGTGTTTGGGAAGTTGAGTGTAGTGGAACTCGTGCCCTTCAGAATCCTTCATGTTCCTGTAATTTATGTATATTTTTTGGATTGATGTTTCTTTCTCCAAAAAATGCGAAGCTGGTTCTAGTCCCCACTAACTTACGCGCGGATTCATCAGCTCTGGTTTACTACACTGGGCTTCCCAGGGAAAATTCCCTATCACGGGCAGTGTGAGTAAAAACAAAGGACCTTCCCTTCAGCTGTTCTGCAGTACCGCGAGGTTTGTGCGTGCGCACCTGCGGTAACAGTGTCGGGGCGCTGCGCCGTTCTGTGTTATGGTTTCTAGAGAGACCACTCTGGCTATCTGAGAATGTGTGGAATGTAACAAAGGAAGCTTTGCGGCCCAACGAAGGCCCCAAGCTTCCTTCCCGAAACCGCGACTAACTTCCGTTCTTGCGCGAGCCCCGTAACTAAGGTAACGGTAATACCGTAATGTTCTAAATTAGCGCTAAATGTCCTACGTGAAACAGCCGTGGCCGGCGGCGGGACGACGACCCAGCTTGAGTTCATCATACCTCTTTACCAACCCTTTCTAAGAGATGTCGTCTTTCGGCGGTGGCGGTAGTGGGGGAGGGCAGTCGGACGTAGACCCAGAGATGCAGCGGTTCCTACAGCTGGAGTCTCAGAAAGCCCAGATGAACGTCCGCGTCCACACCTTCACCGACATCTGCTGGGACAAGTGCATGGACAAGCTGGGCACCACAATGGACGGTCGAAGCGAGAGATGTCTAGTAAACTGCGTGGAACGATTTCTAGATACTACAAACTTCATAATCAACCGACTCGAAAAACTAGGTAGTAAGTAGCCAAATTGCATTACCTAGCCTCCATCCTATGTGTGTACAGACTGTAAACTTTATCGCAACTGTCAGATCATAAATAATTTTACAAAATTTGTGGGAGTTCAAAGCATGTCTCTTGCATTACCCTATAATTCACAACGAATTGACACGCAAAATACGTCAATGAAACCACCTCTGTATATTATGTTTGTTCGAGAATGAAAAGACCTGTACAATAAGGTGGTGCAAGTGTCTATACCGTGTGCATTTTCATGATTGGAGCACCACAATATTAGTACACATGAGACAAGAGAGGCAGAGATCTAGACGAGTTTCTTGGCCTCGAAGAAGCTCTTGAGATGCCTCATCTGCCATATGCCCATGAGGATGAGGATGATGGTCTGCCCCAGAGACCACCACAACACCCGAGCGTTCGTGCTGTCGCTGACCAGCCGGAAACGCTCCTCACGTTGCTGAAAGAAAAGAAGTACAGTTAAAACTTCACAGTTGTACTAGAATATAAAGTCTAGTAGAGGTTTCATTCAGGTCCAGTGTATATACTCACCCTCTGGTAGACCTGCTCCTTTGTGATCTGCTCTATCTGGTCCAAGAGTTGCCTAATTCTCAGCTGGAGTTCACCGAGCTTCTCCCTAGCAGCCACCTCTGGGTAATTGACTGCCTGCTCTCCTATTTGTATGTCTAGATGTACTCGCTGCATTGTAGTGGAGGGAGGAGGGGAGAGGAGAGAAAGAATAGAGATGGTGAGGGATAGAGAGGGGGAGTGAGAGAAGAGAGCAGATTGTGTCAGCAGGGAGTGTGAGAGTGTGCGTCCACTACCATACCAGTTTGTTGCCGCCAAACCACCGAGTAGTGTTGGTGCCAATACAGATGGTGTGCTCTCCCGAGTCGTGTGATGTGAACGTGAACCGACCTTCGGCAGAGTAGTGGCGAGACAGCATCACCTTGCCAAACGGGTTCTTTACCTGTTGGGGTAACCAGCTAACATTGATTTGCCCTTCATTCATACAACTAGACAGTCACACTATAATGAGTGAGCTGTAGCCCTCTCCCTTCCACGCATTTACACATGCACTTTATGCAGAATCAAAGTATATAGTCCCTTGGTCAACACATAATGGTATATACAAAACATTGAGTAATACACACCCCCTTGCAAACTATTACACATACACTGTATTACAATTGTATTTATGCTGTTTTATTGTGAAAAAATCTAATCATGCTTGCATACTGAGTACACCCTCCCTGGCACACTGTATCAACACACCCTGAAGGAGAGGCCGCAGCAATTCTACATCAAAGTCAAAAGACCCATTTTCGGGCAAATTTGCAAAAGGCAGTGGTTCCAAAAAGGCAATTTCATTGCATATCAGGTCTGCAGAGTTTTCACATTTAGTCAAGCACTGGCATTCAGTGTGGGAAGCATATTCTCTTTGAAGTGCTGGCCAGAAGCCCACAAAAGGAACACAATAACATCTTCAGTTAGTTGCACATGTGTATCATGGATGCTCCCTACTTATTATAGACTACCTCGACATGCATTCCTATTCCAGGACTTGACGGTAGCCACATTTGCCTCCCCTCTTCGAACAACTGAGTTTTGTACTTTCCTGTGTAGAGTTTCGAGGGACGGGAAACGTGTAAGTGGGCACTAATTGGAATGCTTACCGACAATCATCGTCTCCGCGGGCACTTCCTCGATGAAGCATTTCACCTCTGTCTCGGATATGTGAAAGTACAGGCCCCGCGTGGTTCCTAGACATACGACAAACGCTAAAAGAACCTTTACACAGTGCATCTTGGCTGCTCTTTCTTCGATCGCGCTCCCAATGACTCACGTGGTAATCACGCGCACGACAACGCGCGTTGACCACGCCCCCTAGACCCGGCGAAGGTAATTTTTCGCGGATCATTCGATCCCTAGCTATCTCTCTCTCTCTCTCCATAGCCTACCTAGAGTAGTTGAGTGCTGATCGTGAGCGACTCTCTTCAGTAAACACTGTGCTACTACCCCTAATCATACTTCAAGCGAGGAAAAAAGTGAGTTCATGGCGTTTCTAACGGCGCCGGCTTTGTTTCTCCGAGAGAGGTACCGTTTGAGTGTGTGTACTAGGTCTGGGTACGGCGTCCGTGTTTGTAAATCTGTGTCCGCTATTCTCGTGTGTAGGTCCATAGACTGACGCCGCTGGAGTCGGCTAACTCGACGAAATGAGTAGCCTAGCGACGAGCAGCGGGAGCGGGGCGTCCAAGGAGTTCCAGGTCGGCGGCAAGTACCGGCTGGTTCGGCGGATAGGCAGCGGGAGTTTCGGCGACATCTACCTGGGAGTCAACGTCACTAATGGAGAGGTTGGTATCTCTGTTGTCTGTCTTTCTGAGGTTTTTTATACACCAGTGTACACTATGAAGGAACTTTAGCTATATACAATGGTTATTGCCTCTTCCCTGTGTGCTGGTACGTATGTAAATTGAGTGTGAGAGAGCAGCCAGTAGCCTGTCTGTGTCTTCTAGTCTCCCATGGTGAAGGCCGCGATGGGTCCTTACTACATATTTTTGAGAGAACAAGGGAATTAGCCAGCGCGCCATGAGCACTGTGTAGGTACGTCCACTTTACGCCTCTTGTGTGTGTATATACAGCACACAGGCATGTGAGCTCCCTAGTATGGTAGCTGTCTATATATCTTCTGTGAAAAACTGGCAGTGTCGGCCAGTGTCAGACGGCCGACGTACGTACACAAACAAGTGTGTATGTGTGAATTGGAGCACGAGGAGATGGAAAAGCAGACCGATCTCACCCACAAGTGGTGGCGAACCAAGCACACGGGCCCAATTGAGCGCGACAGGAGTTGTTGCTGCAACACGACCAAACGACCTCCGTGGGCTCTGTGGGCCAACTACACTGGCACGTCCAGCAGTCAGGTTTTATTTTTTTAGCGTATGCTTTTTCACGCCGGCCTGCGTTAGAGAGAAGCTCACCGTGTGTTAACCGGAATCTTGTGCACACACTCTCTACCACGAAGAGCCGTGTCGTCGTTGTTGAAGGGAGTTTTTAGCAATCATCTGGCCCGCCTACACCGGTAGACGCCCCAGAATTGTTATGTACCACAGAGAATTGTTTATACCAGGAGGCATTGAGTTTGACCACAGGTTGGTATTTGACCACGTTGAATACCAGGCATTTTATCCTAGTTGTTAACCAGCCCCTTGTAGACTCTTTGTGTAGTAATGTGTCAATTACAAACTCTGTGAGCTGTAGCTTAACACAAGTCTACAGCTGTCCGGAGTGGTGCGAATAGCTATTAGGAAGCTACTAGCTTATAATACCTACATAGTACCTAGTGGTACATATTAAAAGTGTTTGATCGCGTGTAACATCCTTCCTGGACAGATATCTGATAGGGTTAAAAGTCGGTTATTGCACTTTGTGTGCGGCACAAATAGAGTTGGCGTGATATGGCTATACAACACGTGTGAGTGTGAGTGACGTTGTGTACTAATTTGTGGGTCTATTTACTGCGTGTGTTGTCCGTGTGTGTGTGTGTGTGTGTGTGTGTGCAGGAGGTGGCTGTCAAGTTGGAGTCTCACAAGGCAAGGCACCCGCAGCTCCTCTACGAGTCCAAACTCTACCGGATTCTCCAGGGAGGCGTGGGCATCCCTCACATAAAGTGAGCCTCTTACTGATTCCTGGACTTTGCATATACTCCGTTCAGTATACGCTGGGAGTTAAAGCTATCTATATACATCGTACTACCAGAGCTTGTTGAAAGAACCTGTATATTTAGCCTGCTGGATTGCGGAGTTTAGTTTGTATTGCTATACACACAGCACAGTTCCAGTTCAAGTGAGGGTCCTCTGATCTATAGGCTTAGCTAAGTGGTAGAATGCCTGTGCCCAGAGTGACTGTCTCTCTCTGTGTGTGTGTGTGTGTGTGTGTGTGCTCTGCCACAGATGGTACGGGACGGAGAAGGACTACAATGTTCTAGTCATGGATCTCCTCGGGCCAAGTCTAGAGGACCTCTTCAACTTCTGTTCCAGACGCTTCACCCTCAAAACTGTTCTGATGCTTGCCGACCAGGTCCTTACATAATGCATTGTACTTCATCATGTGTACTGTATATACATGCATACACATGTATGCATAACATGCCATCCACACGGTTGTACATGTATTGTGCAGCAGTACGTTGGGTGGTTAGTTGGCCCATGAGGCATGAGTAACTTGGTCTGGCACGTGCCAACGAATGCTCCGACAATTATTCGCGTTGCGGTAAAATTAGTGCATGGGTAGTTTCTCAGTTGGGCAAAACACATACGGGCGGGTGAATAGCGCAAAATTAACGCTTGTGGTTGGAACATACTATGTATAGTTTTCCTCCTGTAATGTCTCCTTTACCATGTCAGTGCCAGTTAATGGAAGCTGTTAACAGCCTTCACTGCATTCCTCTCTGGGACCACATGAAAGAAAACTCAACTCCCAATGTGTCCTGTGTGCATTACCCATCCAGCATATAGCAGTACTGCAGGTCTTTGAGCAATTTGCCTCTCAATCAAGGCTCTCCTGTGCTTGTGTTCTAGCAGGCGTCATAATCTGATGTGATTGTGGTATAGTCATAATCTGATGTGATTGTGGTATAGTCTCGCTCGGAATCTCTGTCTGTAGCTGTCCCAGGGACAACACCCTATTGTGGGGAAACATGGCTGCACTGTAGACTGTGTGTCTGTTTTGAATAGTGTGACAACGTTGCACCCGTAGCAAAAAGAGTGAACAGTTGCAAAAAGAGTGAACAGCAGCGTGTATAAGACAGCCCGTCCTTATGGTTTTAGCATGTATACAAAATGCTGCGTTATTAACTTTTGAAGCATTGAAAGTACTGAATTAGTATTAGCCACTGCCCGACACTTGACACTCTATCTTACTACACTGTGGGAGGGAAGGGGATTTCCAGAGACCTCTGCTGTGGAGTGTCTGGAATATCGAAACTCCATGTTTACACTCTGTTTAGGTCTTCCTTTACTAGTACATACATACACACACACCACTGATGCCTACTATATACAGTGATCAGTTCCCAAAAGTGACCAGTATCACTGGCCGTTGGTCACATGACTCAGTGTGATGTCATCTTTGTTGTTGTCGTCGCGTGTCTCATTTTGCACAGGAAATGGTATGGCACATTCTGTGTTGACCACATACCCGGTTCGCCATGTGTGTTAATTATAATATACACTTCCTTCGCATTATCTATATGGAATTATTTGACTTACTGCATGCAAACTCTTATCCCCTCATGCATGATTGTGTACAGATGATAGGGAGAATTGAGTTTGTCCACAACAAGAACTTCATTCATCGAGACATTAAGCCAGACAACTTTCTCATGGGCATCGGGAGACACTGCAACAAGGTACATATGCAGTACCTACATACGTAATGTGTATTTACACGTGCCATTATGTGTATTATACAGCAGGATGGTAGTGATGCATATTATGTGCATGCCTCGGGTGTTACTCACACAGATGATGTGACATGACTGGTTTCGTAAGGCGGTGTTCCTGGGTTGGCATTGGTTGTGCAGTTAACCGGGGTTACCCACCCATATGATGTAGAGTTTACCCCAACCCCGCCCAACCATGTTTCTCTCTCTCTCTTCTTTCTTCTATCACTCACCTTTCCTTACACATGTCTCCGAAACACCTGTTGAGCAGGGAAGGGTTTTGTGTACACATGTCTTTACCTGGGCTGTGTGGGCCACCCACTGCACTGATAGCTGTGTGTGCGTTTATTGGTTCTGACCTCACACATACTGTGGCTATATTCATCAACCAGCTGAAACACATGAGTGTCAATCATACCCTCACACACACTCTCGCTCTATAGGCCTGGCCACAAACAACCAACCACGCTGATAGATGTTTAAAATCGGCCCAATATGCGTGCCAAAATTCAAAGGGCGGAGGACTATGGAGTGGTAATGATATTCACGAGGGGTTGGGAGTGGCTTTGACTGGACGTGTGTGTCTGTTTTGAATAGTGTGACGACATTCCAGGGGCCCAGCTGTTATGTCATGCAGGGGTGTCATGTGCACCGCCAGCTCCCCAGGGAGTGTTTGGCGTTAAATTGGCAATGATTGGAGGGTTTCCCCCTCACTGGTTGCATGAATAGGCACCTTATGTTTGTGGTATATAGACGTCTTTTGGAGGAATGTGTGGAATGCAGCAATATGTGGTTGGGACCTTGCCGCCAAGGTATGGTGTTTCTGCCGAAATATCACATTTCTTTCTCTTTTCTCTACCTTCCTCCCTACATTCTCACCTCCCCTTTCTCTCTCTCTCTCCTTTCTATTCTCTTTCCCCTCTCCTTCCCCTCCCCCTCCCCCTCTCCCCCTTCCCTTCGCTCCACAGCTGTTCATCATTGATTTTGGTCTGGCCAAGAAGTACAGAGACACGCGGACCAAACAGCACATTCCCTACAGAGAGGACAAGAACCTCACGGGCACCGCCAGATATGCCAGCGTCAACGCACACCTCGGCATTGAGCAATCGTTAGTTCACCCCCACACCTTATCAGACCTCACACCGGATGCTTTGTGACACGTGTACCACAGAGTTTTGTACGCATGTATAATACGACTTGTTGGGGCTAATATTATGTACTGCTCACTGCTAGTTCTTTGCTGAAGTGCGTCTGTTGAAAAGTGTATATACTGCTACTCTATGTAGTGCTTTACGGTCTTATGGGCTGTGCAATGGACCTACTGACACATACTCACACACATTATATAAAGGCACAGTGTGTACGTACGAGCAATTACTTGGGAAGAACGCCCATCCGGGGATCAAAGTAATGCGCTAGCTATGTATGCTGTATGTTGAGTTGACCTGGGTTGTCTGACCTGGGCCATGTCGCATCCTTTATTGTCCCGCAGTACACGACTACAATGAAACCAGCTACATATGTATGCGTATAGTCATAATTATATTGCACGTGCATTATCTACATACACCTGGCTGGGGACGGTTCCCCTGTAAGCATTATGTTTTATGTAAGATCTCACCACATGCGCTCTCTCTCTCTCTCTCTCTCTCTCTCTCTCTCTTCTCTCTCGTCTACTATTATATCGTTCTCGCAGGAGAAGAGACGATATGGAGTCGCTGGGCTACGTCCTGATGTATTTCAACAGAACAAGTCTCCCATGGCAGGGGTTAAAGGTGAGAGCCAATGAAGCACGTTTGAATAGCACACACCGTACATGTACAGTAACAGTATGAAACATCAGGTCTGTTCAAGCATTCTGGGTCCCTTGTTGTCTAACTGTTCTGGGTGTAACAAGGATGCTATACTTGCTATACCAAAGCCAATGGACACATACTGATTTTAACAGCCTCTGATACACTCTAGTTGTGCACTGTTTTCGTGTGCGAGTGCAAATGTGGCATGTCAGAGTGTGGCAATGTTGATGGCCACAGATCAAGGGACTGGGATTAATCTTTGTCACACACGTCGGTGGAGTCAATGAGGAGCACCCTGTAGTGGTGAACACATGGAGTCACAGCGTTTGTTGCCAAACAAAGCCTTCTTAGAGTTTCACGTGTGGCGTGCGTTTGTGAGTGTCGGTGGGCAGAATAGAACCGCTGTGAGGCAGTGTAGGTTACTGAGACCAGAGCTCCAAGTATGGGAAAACTGCCTCCTCCATTCATACAGTACTTGCAATACGTACTCTGTTCGTGTGTCTATGTGCAGGCTGCCACAAAGAAGCAGAAGTACGAGAAGATCAGTGAAAGAAAACTTTCGACTCCAATTGAAATCCTCTGCAAGGTACAATATACAGTATGTATATTAGTATAAGGCTTGGGAACCTACAGTAAGGTGTACAGTGCAGACAGGGAGAATGCATCTACGGATTTGAGTAGCGTTCAGAGGATTGAACGTTGTAACAACATATCTAGCTTTAGTTGTATCTCCCTTCTTCCCCACTCGCATACTTCTTCAAGTGTCGTTAGCATCAACTACAGCTTCGGTAGCTATGTCAAGTGTTTGTTTAGGGCATTGACCGCCCCCGTTGATAAAATCTCGCCTCCCTTGGAGTTTAGGTGAACCTTTTAGTGCACAGAGACACAAGGCTATGGCCCCCCTCTTTTCATTCCCCCCCCGCCCCTGGGTCGATGCTAAATACGGGACTATGAGACTGCTGTGCTGATTGCCACAAGCAAGCTATGGCTGATGCAATTATGTATAAAGAATTTGCCGGGTTGGAGGTGGACACTGAAGGTCTCATATCCTGTGGCCCTCCCAAATGGGCATTCCCTCACGTCCACCCTCTGCCAAAGCTTCCCTGGAATCCTTGGCACTTGGTCCAGTCTAGGTGTTGTGTGGAGCTGTGGGCGGCACACTCGGGGCTCCAATCTGTGGTTTTGTGGGTTTCTCCTCTGCATGCCGTGTTTTTTTGTTTTCTCTGCTTATCTCAATAATTTTGCTGACTCATTTTCCCCATAATTTCTGGGCCTTTCCCTGTTTAATCCCACTCCTTTCTCTTTTGTTTTCTCTCTCTCTCTTTCTCTCTCTCTCTCTCACTCTTCTCCAGGGGTTCCCGGCAGAATTTGCCATGTACCTGAACTACTGTCGAGGTCTGCGGTTCGAGGAGGTGCCCGACTACATGTATCTCCGCCAGTTGTTTCGCATCCTCTTCCGCACGCTCAACCACCAGTACGACTACACGTTTGACTGGACACTGCTGAAACAGAAGGCTGCGGCGTCCGGCAGTTCGAGCAGTGTTCTACAGATGGGTGGTGGCGCTGGGCAAGGTACAGGATAATTACAGTTGAACCCGTAATAAAGGGTAATCTGATCAAAAAGAGACCCCTCTAAAGAGGACACTTGTTTCTTCTATCTGGTTCTAATAGGTTGGTGTATTAGGACACCTCTGTGTAAAGGTCATGGTCCAAGTGTGTCCTCTATACTAAGGAGTTGTTGGTATTATTAGGGGATAGTATCATTGAACCAGTTTGGAACAAAAACTTGATTGTTTCAAAGTACTCTTGAACTCTTGAGGATAACAACAGCCTGTGCTTTACATAGTTCTTACTAAAACCATTGTCACAGACTGTACTCACTTTAGTAGCTAGCTATATACCTAAGTAGGGTGTTTTCAGAGGTTCAGAACGGAGAAGGAAACAGCGTGCAGGAATGAGAATTGGGGAGGGACGGAAATAGTTGTGGTTTGTGATCTCACGTTTCGAACGGGGAAGAGGTCGGAGTGCTTCAATTTCCTATGTGTTGTGTTTGTCTTCCTTGGAAAGGCTTTCATTCCCTTGTTTGAAAAATTTCCCTCGTGTACCACGTGTGTGTGTGTGTGTGTGTGTGTGTGTGTCTGTGTGCTAGGTATATTTGCTAAACATGGAGAGGAGGATGTGGCTGAAGAACGCAAGAAAATCACAAGCAAAAAACGGTGAGAAGAAAATCAACAACTGTCGTGCTTCTTTTGATTCGCACAATTCCCTCCTCTACAGGTGAACGTCCCGGCCTGCCCTCACGCACCTACTCCTCCCAGCATCTCTTGTGAACTTTGACCTCTCTTCATGTCCACCGTTTCCTTGTGTACTGTATTTCTCTTCTGCACGTCGTTATGTGTATGTGTGCATGTTGGTGTATATACCTAATACATTATTTGTGTGATGAGTATGCCTGTATCCACCACACACACACACGAGTCACGTGTGTGTTACTACTTGAATAGTATTACTTCTCTCATGCATTTTGTATCACATCGTTATTTATGACACTCGGAAAACATTTTTGGTTACTCAGCGAGCCCCGCGCTCTTACACGAAAGGCGCGTATTCAACCGTTATTTGCGCGCATGCGCGAGCTCTCGAGGAAACTACCAAGATGTCGTCTGAGGAAGAGGAGGAAGAATACGTACTGTACAGAGACCGTCCGGAGTGGAAGGACGTGGTTCCGGTTCCCCAGGACGACGGGCCGCACCCCGTGGTCGCCATTGCCTACACGGAGAAATGTACGCAGCCTGTATAGCCCTCAACACTGGTCTGACACTTGCATGCATGCTTATATATTTTGGCCACTCGCTTTCCCTGCGCCTCTCCGGTTATGTTCCCCCTGTGGTGTGGTTTCAAATCCTTCTCTGGATAAAGTATGTAGTTCTTCAAGGGGGACAGGTCCTATACACTTCGCTCTCCTTTCTTTTCTAGCAAGAGACTAGATTACGCAACACACGTGCTCCTCTTGGTCCACCCACGCAGTTCGAGATGCCCACGACTACTTCAGAGCAGTGGTGAAGTCAAACGAGATGAGTGAGAGGGTTCTTGAACTAACTACCACCGCTCTCGAGCTCAACGCTGCCAACTACACCATCTGGTATAATTCCAGCATTTCGTCTAGCATCTAGACTTTTGTATAGCGTCCTCACTACACTACAACATAATATGGGTCCTTAGGTTTCTATTACAAGGGTATATAGTGGAGTCATAGATTTCGTGCACTCTCGGCACAGGCACCATCGTCGCCAGGTTCTCCAGAGTCTCAAGAAAGACCTCCGCCAGGAGATGCAGTACGTGGCCACCATCATTAAGGATGAACCTAAGAACTATCAGGTATAATACTTATTTCGTCCTACACATTATCTGTAGACCACCAAATATCTGTGAGCCACAAAATTTTAGCTGGCTTTTACAAAATTTTTGCTACACGGGCCATGTGCTTCCCACAGAAAGTGCGACCGAGCCCAACAAAAATCTCCAGTGTGCATTAGTACGTATTGTGGTGTGTTAGGGGAGATCTTACGGTTGTGTCCAGGTGTGGTACCACCGCCAGAAGCTGGTGGAATGGTCTGGAGACCCCAGCGGTGAGCTAGAGTTCACGGGCAAGGCACTGCGAACTGACTCCAAGAACTACCACGCCTGGCAGTACCGGCAGTGGCTCATTAAGGTCCTTCTCCCCTCTCGTTCTTTCTTCTCTCTGTCTTGCCTTTCCCTTACTCTCTCTCTCTCTCTCTCTCTCTCGTCCCACTAGACCTACAGTTTGTGGGAGGGGGAGCTGTCCTACTTGGACCAGCTCCTTGGAGAGGACCTCAGAAACAACTCTGTCTGGAACCAGAGACACTTTGTCATCTCTGGGACCACGGGATTCAGTGACGAAGTCGTGTCCAGAGAAATAGAGTGAGCTCTCTTGCAGATATCTCTCTCTATGTATGTATGTATCGTTAGTGGAGGTGTGTTTAAAAGTGGTACAGTGCGGGCATCTCAGCTTCAAAAATCAGGCCACAGTTAATCACCAGTTGAAACTTGTTGGTCGAAAATGCTTTTCCGTACCAGTTGCACATGCACTTATACACTGTTACCTTAGAGCAACCTTCAGCTTAATAATCATAGTGTGAACAAAGGCCCCACTGTACTGTACAGAACGTGCACTACCATTGCACGTCAATTTGCTCTCAGGTATGCCATGAAGTACATCAGAAAGGCACCTAACAATGAGAGTTCCTGGAACTATCTGCAAGGGTGAGTCCTACACATGTACAACACCCCTCCACCCCTGTGTGTTCCCACTGTACTTCATGGCCTGTGTGATACATACACATGTACATACTTCAGGAGAAGTTTGGTGCCAGCAACTTTGATAGGAGGAAAAACAGAGCTCAGAGCTTAAGCATTTCCTCCCTTAATCTTTACATCACACACGATGCAACTTTGTTGAGTGAGACAAATGCATGCTAGTACTTCAAATGTATTGGTATGATGGGTCATGCGTGAAATAGAATGCGTTTCTCTTTACGTTACATGGCAACCTGTATGGGCCCACTCATCATTATGAGGTTGCATGCAACTCTGTCTCACTCAACAGAGTTACGTTGTGTATCTTAGTCTTCATTCTGGCGTCATGATGAACTGTGTGTCCCTCTCACCTCCCCCTCCTCCCCCTCTTCTCTCTCTCTCTCTCCCGTACCCACACACGTCGCAGAGTGCTGCGAGGTCGGCGCTACTCGGACCACCACAGTGTAGTGGCAGCCTGTGAGGAGATGTTGGGGAGCCACATCTCCTCTCCGTTCCTACTGGCCCTCCTGGTGGACGCGTACGAGGAGGACGGAGGACGAGAGAAGAGAGACGAGGCAGTCAAGGTAAGCCAGTCTGTAGGGTGCTGCTCTCTGGGGAAGTTTGTCCTTCCTCTATAGTCTCGGCAGGCAAGACTGATGTAGTTTCTTTCCTATATTTGTGCATCCACACACACATGCCCATCACCCATTACACCAGCTTCGGTAGGTAAATCACCCATCAATTTACACCTATGCATAGATACAAGTAGGAAGGATCTCTAGTCTGTTTCATTAGGCAAGACTGATGTAGTTTCTTTCCTATATTTGTGCATCCACACACACATGCCCATCACCCATTACACCAGCTTCGGTAGGTAAATCACCCATCAATTTACACCTATGCATAGATACAAGTAGGAAGGATCTCTAGTCTGTTTCATTAGGCAAGACTGATGTAGTTTCTTTCCTATATTTGTGCATCCACACACACATGCCCATCACCCATTACACCAGCTTCGGTAGGTAAATCACCCATCAATTTACACCTATGCATAGATACAAGTAGGAAGGATCTCTAGTCTGTTTCATTAGGCAAGACTGGTGTAGTTTCTTTCCTATATTTGTACATCTACACACACATGCATAAATCACCCATCACCCATTACACCAGCTTCGGTAGGTAAATCACCCATCAATTTACACCTATGCATAGATACAAGTAGGAAGGATCTCTAGTCTGTTTCATTAGGCAAAGATCGGTATTTTAAGCATTAAGCAAGTATCTGACTTCTTAGCCCATGGCAAGCTTACGTTTGCATGCATCCACATCAGCCTCGCTACTCAATACTCTGCTGCATAGTGAGGTTGTTTTGCATCATTTTATACTGCATGGCAATCACTCATCTTCATCTGACAGACTTCTACACACATCCATGCACTGTGTGTTTGTGTGGGTGTTGACTGCAGTTGTGTCGGCTGCTGGCGGAGAAGGTGGACACCATCAGGAAGACATACTGGGACTACGAGGCCAAACGACTGCTACAGCCACACCCGTCTCGGGACTCCGCCCACTCCTAGGAACCACTCCGCCCACGCTTACAAACTGCTCGCTAACTCTCTCTCCCTCCCTCCCTTCCTTCTTTCTCTCTCTGCCACTAATGTGTGGGTCTATCTGGACGGGTGGTGTACACAGTCGTCTGTAGATTAGGTCATTAAAAGTGTACAGACAACTTTATACAGAAATGACTACACACAAAGTAACTAATAAAGTGATGCTTGGTTGAGTGAGGATAGTATAGCTCATGAGAATAATAGTTTTAAAATCTATGTGTATTTGCTTACAAAGACACACCAAAGACAGACCAATCAGTGATGCTGGTTGAGTGGGTGTAACACGGACTGGTTATATATACAAGGTATGAAGTTTGAAAGTCGCTATCTCTCGTCCTCTGTGTCTGGTGGAGAGTCAGCAGGCAATTCTCTGATGTACTTCTGCATTATCTGCAATTGCGAGAGGGAGGGAGAGGGGGGTTGGTTACACAGCTTCACATGCATAAAGATAGTATACTAAAACAAAATTAATACACCCCCCCTTCCCACTCTGCTGTCCCTTCACTTCCCCTAGCTCTCCCTCTCTCTCACTCTTGTAGAAAACCCTAATAACTTTTCTCTCACAGGATTGCTACATAGTTCCCAGTGACTGACAATATGCCCTTCCAGAGAAACGTTTTGGAGTGAAGAAAACTTGCAGCCTAATGTCAGTGCTGCATGCCCAGTTCTTGATCTAGTACATACGTATTCGGTGCTTACGTCGACTGGAGTGAGGTTGTACGGAGTGCTCTGCCATCTCTGTAGCTGCCTCACCAGCCCGGCCTGCACCCGTCGCTTCGAGAAATTCACCACTTTCTGCAGCAGCACCACAGACAATACGCCAGCTGTGCATGATTATTTTGTATGTTTGTACTGTACCTCTGGTGAGTGTGGCAGGTAGTCAGTGAGTGTCTTGTCAATCTCCTCCATGTCAGACAGCAGGATACCTGGACACATGGTATACACAGGCACAGTGTGGCTCAGGTTGAAATGTACATATTGCCCAGATTCAGCTGTAGCTACCCAGGAAGATGTCATTATTAATTTTAATGCAGGGGAAAAGGTATTTCACATCAAATCAAAATTCTCAAAATGTGATCCTAAAACCATGCAACAACCCTCATTCCTTGTTACTTCATTTAAGACTAAGTTTTGAGTCACGAAATAATAGTTGAGCAGCTACATTTCGTGGCTAAAAACTTAGTCTTAAATGAAGGAACCAATTGTGTAGTAAAAGATGGTGCCCTGACGAATGTTGGACGGAGGGGGAAATGACTGACTGAGGTGAGGGACAATGGGCGACTGGTGGATCACTCTCGTGTCGTGTCTGTATCTATGGTAACTGTTGTCGGGGGAGACCAGAGCCTGGAGGTCCCGATAGACCCGCAGTAGATGATCGGTCACCAGCTGCATGAGAGAGGGGGAGCATTGCTAATGGGTCATAGTGAGAAACAGGTTTATGGCGGCTTCCACACAAGCCATACAGTAAGTATGATACCTGCCATGCCTGGTCCTGTTCTCCCACTGAGCTCTGTGATAGGCCGTCCGTGATGGCAAATACTCCGGCAAAGTTCTTCAGCTCTCTGCAGCTCTGCATTGCACACAACAACCACAGGACACAAATGTATGGGGCCAATTGTATATATTAGCAAGTGTATTGCTTTAATCAACTCTGGTTTCCAACAGCATGATATAGACGACGTATGTAGATGTACCTTGGCAGTCTCGACGAAGTAAGAGATGACGGAAGCCCTGTCTTCATCCACTGTCTCTCTCACCACCTCTCTCCCCACAAGACCACTCATCTACACACCAGTAGAAAGACACAGGGTTATAAAGCACAGGAACACACACACCCTAGCTCAAGACAGGAGGTTAGCTCGAGACATAGGCACATTTACGTTATTCCAAATTAATGTGCAGGGATTTTTTCATCACGGTTCAAAAAGGGTAAGCACTATACTTGGTAGAATGAGCTGTCAGAGTGGAGTAGGAAAAGGTAGACAGCTAGAGCTGTGTGTGTTGAGTATATAAGGAGACAGACCTTCCTGGACATGAACTGGAAGAGAGAGATGTTTGGACAGAGACCAGCTGTGCCTTCTTCCCGCCAGCCAAGGCTCAGTAGCTCACAGGGCTGTGAGAACCAGAGAGAGAGAGGAAGATATGGACACTTTCTTCTGTCTCATTGGTGTCCAGATTAGACAACTAAAGACCAGAGTCTTCAGAATATCAAACAGAGCGTTCTGTTCTAATCAGAGAGTTGCACGTGTGTGTGTGTGTGTGTTGCTGACCCTGATCTGCCTCAGGATGTAGCTGAAAGTGAGGGTCAGTTGTCGTGCCAGCTCCAGACTGTTCACGTCCAGCAGGTCCTGGTGAAACAGACACTCACAATGGCACACACCCACTCTCTAGATCAACCGTGTTTCGTAAGCTCTATATACCCACTCAGCTTTAACGTCAGTTTACAATCTTAGAGCATGCTCACAAGAAGGTGGGGAAATACAAATGGTTCTCTCGCAGAGCCGGTATGGTATAGTGGACTCACAAAGGAGGTGTGGCTGGAGGCGTGGCTCGAGGTGAGGTCTGGAGGAATGAGGGACGAGGGGGGTTTCCCCGTGGGACTGGCATGCAGGTGGGAGGGGCCTGACTTCACGTTGGTCGCCAGTGTCCTCCTCAGCTGCTGGGAACAGGCTGGGAGGAAACTGCCGAGAGAGAGAGGCAGTTAAAACACTGTTGGCACACAGTTTTCATTGGTGAAAGTCAATGCTCCAGTAGTGCATATCATGCAGTCAGTGAGCTCTCTATGACACACCTCTCAACAGTATTGAGGAACTTGTTGAGCAGCGAACGAGTGGAGTTGCCCTCTTTGAAATCGTCGTAACTCCCAGCGATCCAAACTTGGAGGCCATGCACCACCCTGCACGTGGAGAACACATTGTTAGTTGGAGAACACGGAATTGCTGGTTGACCCGATAACTCGGTGATGATTAATTAAGAGGGAAAGAGGAACTTCTGTCTGGAGTCGAACTATAATTATACCTAGAGGGAGTACAAACTTTGGTCTGGGGTTTTTATAGCTCAGTGCATAGTGCACCAGATTTCTCTGGATTCCACCCAGAAAGCTGGAGTTCTGACAGAAGTTGGTTATTTCTCTTTCCCTGTACAACTGGGTCATCTCTGAACTGCGAGAGCTAAGGCGAACCACACATGACGGTTGGGTGGGACGGTGTTTAACCTGAGTCTGATAGGAATGAGAATGTCAGTCAGGAAGGCCTCTCTCTCCCTCTTGCTCAACTGGTGTGGTGGAGTCACACTGAACCTGCACAGAGAGAGGAATAGGAAGACTTTTGTTAGATACTAGCTGTGTAGCAGGTAGTATCCCGGAAAGAACGTTTTGTATTCACTCACACACACGTTGTACCCATTTAATTTTTGTGCAGTTAATATACGGGCATCACAGACCCTCAACCTGCTCTATTGCACTTTCAACTGTGACAGTATTACATAACTCTTGATTGCAGCATGCATGTATACATATTATGACTACATGTAGTATTACAGACCTGGAAATGAGCGAGGTGAGGAGTTGCTCAGAGGTCATGAAGGAGGAGAAGGTGAGGAGGAAGGTGTCGGCAAACTCAGCATCTGAGCAAAGAGAGAGAAACTCAAACCTCGTCTCTCTAAAGCACTAATACTCCACCCCTTATTTTCTTTCTTCTTCCCTCCCTCTCTCTCCTTCTCTCCCCCCTCACCAATCGCTCTGTGGTAGGTGAGCCAGGTCACCAGCTGCTGGGCCGTTGCCCCGGAGACCACAGGAGCCTCCTTTACCAGGCTCCATGAACTCTGAGATCCTCTCCTCACCTAACAACATTAAAATTCCACTCATACTAAAATTAATGTCAAGTACCATTACTGTTAGTACGGGTGTATTGATCTAAAATAGCAACATGTTTGCCAATAATAACTTGAAGGCTATGGTGATATACGGAGAACTATGATTATGTCAACTGACAGAAGGTGAAGCTGGTTTCTCTGCAAACAGAACACCAGTTGGATTTACATCCTGTAGTTGTAGAGGACATAAGAGAATACATTAATATAGCACGCACAGTTTTTTTGACACAGCAAACTCTATAATGATACTCTTCTTATACACGCATGAAGAGAGAAAAATGTGTGTCTCATCTAAGAAGAACTTACTGCAGTTAGTTTTGCACTAGAAGAATATCTCCTCATCTGTGATTGATTGATAAATCGTATGGTGTGAAGTGAAGAATTAGTCGTATTGGCTCACCCTGGTTGACTCCTCTCCCTCTGTCTCCTCCTCCCCACAGTCGTCACTGTCGGCGGCCAGGCTCCCGTCCACACTCCTCTGACCAGTCATGAGGGACACAAACTCCTGTTCCATCCTCTGGGCCTGCTCCAGGGCCCTCCTGTGCTGACCTGCCGTTCGCAGGGCACTCGCAACCTACACACACAACAAAACACAACAGTTTTTGTCTCTGGATCTGTTGCTTTTGTCCAAGTAAAAAAAATTGATGACATTCTGCACTTTTTCCTTACTCCCCTTACTAACACTCACTGTTCTCGAGCAGGTTTCTTTCAGTGTGTTGGCTGCTGTCATCAGCTTAGAGGCTGCACTGCTTGGAGCTGTGGGACCTATATATACACAACACCACTTCATAAGGCATAATGAAGGCTAAGGCTAGACTCTGTGTATGCATGTGTTTCTAGCCATGTATAGTGATCAAACCTCTGACAAATGACCCTGGGAATACAGGTTACCTACCACTTTGTTCTGCCCCATACTAATAGATTAGTGCCTCAGAATATAGGACGCATTTGAATAAAGGACAGTTTCGCAATGTCCCCGAGATGTCTCTTATTCAGAGTTTTGACTGTAGTGTGTCAGTACATACAGATGTACGTCAGACGTGTCACTGAGTGTGTAGGTACACATACATACGTACCTGATGCCATGTGGCAAGCAAGCCGTGTGGTTCTCACGGCAGCCTCGATGTCTGCCCGACTCTTCTCGCTGTCCCTCTCTCTCTTCCTCCTACTCTGGTCCACCAGTACATCTTCCTCCAACATACCCACCTACACACACGGCATACATACCTCTGCAATGGAAATATGTAGCCTCGTGTGCCGTATGTGATACTTTGTTTTAAGTGTGCCATGTAGCTAGCGAGCTTAACCTGGATTCGTTAATTCACAAAGTGTTTGTTGTACAGCATACATACATACATACATGTAGCATGGAAATATGTAGCCTCGTGTGCCATATACTAAAAACCTTTGGGTTTTCAAAGTTTGGGTAAGGTTCACTTCCACCCCATACATTCACACGTGTAAACTGAACTCTCACACTTTTTCACATGAAGAAATAAGAGAGGGGTGAAGGTACACGTAACAGATGTCAGCCCAAAGAAGTGGAGGGGGGCAGCGAACGTTCTGTCTTACCTTCATTAAGAAAGGGCACCTTTCCCTGTAATAGTAAGCTTGCAAATGCTCTTCCTCCCTCCCTCCTCTCCCTCCTCACCTCCTGGCTGAGCCTGGCAGCGGCCACCACCATCTGCTGGACCACCTCTCCGTAGCTCTCCCTCGAGTCACTCCCGCACATCTCACTCAGGAGGCTTGCCTTCCGGCGTTACCGTCAGGAACAGTAACTCTGCCCCCTTTGCTATGGCCTGCAGCGAAGAGGAAGTAAGACGATTCTACAGCGAGTGTTGCACAGTGTACTCCATCATCATAATATGTAACTCTCTGTATGCAACTGGGATTCCCGAAGATATAGTTGCAAATTGGTTCGTGTGTATGTGTGTACATAGTGACTGGCTCCAGTGTATAATGCCAACATTACGTAGGCTACCAACCTTGTTGACATGGTAGTGGAGTTTCAGTTTCTGTAAGGCATCGCTACCCAGGTAACCCCCGGAGACAAGCCCCACCCCTTCTCCTCCTCCGCCACCGGATGTCTTCCTCTGAACAGTGACGGAGCTGGCATCGGCATCGCTGCTAGGGCTTCCTGCAGAGCCGGAGTCACTCGATGACTCGGAGGAGACGGAGCGGGTTGTGGGCGTGTCAGGAGGGGAGCGGCCAGGGGACCTGGACACCAGGAGAGAATGAGTTTTAAATGGATCTGAACCAGAAGAAGAAAGGCCTACTAATATTGTCGTACTTTTAGCAAGCAAATAGTGGGAAGTACAGGCCGAATAATCATGCTGAATACCTTGAATCTACCTGAAAGTGCAGTGCTAATGCTCTCTCGTGCTATTCTTTAGTTACAGGGCAACTTACCTCTCCTCATCACCAGCAACGGAGTGACGGTAGTAGGGCAGCTTGAGCTGGCTGGCTCGCAGACCTAGCTGGTCAAATCTTAGCCTCCCCTCCTCCTCCTCTTCCTCCCCGTCCTCCACCCTCCTTCTGGAGGCCATACCCCTCTCGTTGCGGGGGATACGAGACGGACGATACTCCACTGCCTTCTCCTTCCTGCACAAGTGGCATATACAATCCTTCATGCACAGAAGGAAACAATTAACACATATCTACATTTTCAATATTAATAAGGCATAAAAGAAAGTAGCATTCAAGCCATGAAGTTTCAAAATTGTGGTCAAATAGTTATACCATGTCAGTTGGGGTGTTTAGTTATGTGATTACATCATTGTATCATAGATGAAGTACCTCTGGGGTACTCCGGAGTCCCCCGTGCTGGAGGCGAGTCAGAGATGGAGCTGAGCTGCTCGGCCACCGTACACCCAGTGGCCTCCGACTTGCTGTCGTGTCCCGAGTCTGTACGGACACGGGAATGGGACCGTGAGAGTGTGCTTCTACACCACCACTGTCTGGAGAGCTGAATCTTAGTACGTGTAACTGATTGACCGGAAAACTTTGAAGGTGTCATCCAAAATTTTTAGCATTCATTGTGAGGTGTAGATTTACTAAGAGCCTGCGTTTTTCTCTATAATGCTGCTGGAAGTAACAAACGAAGACACACCCTTGGTGACAGAAAAACCATCAGCCGTGGAGGGTTCATATTATAGTACTGACTGTATATAGGTCTCACCTGATCCAGCGTAGACTTTGACCCAGGGCAGCTGCATGAGTTCCCAGCCGACGATGACGATGCGGTGAGTGAGAGAGGCACACTGGGCCACCATCAAGTAGTCCAGCGTGGCCAGCGTCAGATGGTGACTGCACAGCAACATGTCCGGTACAAAATCTGGACATGATTATGGCGGTGGGGTGGGGGAGGAGGTAAGGGGGAGATAGACTAAGAGAGAACGAGAAGTCTAAAAATATCAGGCCAGCGGTTATGCACAACACAAACCTTTTTGTGCACTACAAAAAATTTGTCGTAACATTACAAATATCTGCTTGTAAGACTGCCAATAAGGAAATGCTCTGGGTGTGTGGATGGTTTCTGTGTATGTACATGGGAGAGGATGTGGAGAGGCGGCCATTTTGACTCTCCTGATGAGGTTGTCCATGGCAACCTTGATCTTGTGCTCCATGTCCTTCACACGGGTCCTCAGAGGATGCAGGTGGAGCGAGCCATACCTGTGAGAGATTAGATGGTGAAGTGAGAGAGGTAGCGAAGGGGAAACAGTTTCATGAGAGTGAGAGAATGCTGTGAGAGGAAGAAGAGGTTATACGTGAAAGAAAGTTAAAGAGGGAAAGAATAAAGAGAGGAGAAACGAGAGGTAGAGAGCAAGGAGAAAGAGAAAGAGAGAGATACGAGGCCTGAACTGACTCGTGTGTTTGTTGAATGGTGTCCAGAGCCCGCTGGGCACTGCGCAGGATGTTGGAGGTGAGACTGGCAAAGTACTCACTCTTTCTCCTCGTAGGCAGCCCTCACCAGACCCATGAGGGCGGAGAGGACGGTGAAGATGAGAACGCCAGACACTGCCCCTGACCCAGTCACCTGGGACTCTTCCTGTGGGTGCATCCACACAGAGAAAGAGAGAGTACATGGTCAAACATGGAAGAAAATCCACATGTAATGAACATGCCTTGGACGCTACACGGGCAACAAAGTTAGCAATGTATTACTACTCATTCCATCATTCTATATACTCCTTGGGGCAGTTTTACTTCAAGAGTTGGCTTGGCCATGCCAGGTTTCGAACCAGGACACTTGAGTTACAGAAACGACACACTTACCACTAGGCCACACAGACAGTACAGCTAGAAACAGAACGAGATAGAGCCTTCTTGGAAAGGTTCACCTGAAGAGGGGAGTGAAGGAAGTTGCCCGGGGCAGTGGCGTCCATGAGGTGTGCAGTAGTGACGGTAGCATGGAGGGTCTCCTGGGTACAACCCACCAGACGAGATATACTGGTTATCTGCTGGACAAACCGGTTTAGCGAGAGAGAGAAATCGGCCGCTGCCGTGCCTCGCACACCGCACAGCTGCTTCGTGACCGACACCAACTGTGGATGTGAAGACAGTGGGGGGAAGTGGGGTAATACATGGAGACGAGTGTATAGGCATGTCTCAACAACTTTGTAACGAGGTAGAAAGGCAAGGCAAGGCGAACAAGTCAACTACACCCAGGGGGACAACGAAAAGGAGGCGAGATAGGGATGGAATCAGTGCGAGATATGAGTTATATAGACCTTCAAACATGCTTTGGAGATCGTGTATGTACTGACTTAGACCTTCAAACATGCTTTGGAGATCGTGTATGTACTGACTTAGACCTTCAAACATGCTCTGAAGATCGTGCATGTACTGACTTAGACCTTCAAACATGCTCTGAAGATCGTGCATGTACTGACTTAGACCTTCAAACATGCTCTGAAGATCGTGCATGTACTGACTTAGACCTTCAAACATGCTCTGAAGATCGTGCATGTACTGACTTAGACCTTCAAACATGCTCTGAAGATCGTGCATGTACTGACTTAGACCTTCAAACATGCTCTGAAGATCGTGCATGTACTGACTTAGACCTTCAAACATGCTCTGAAGATCGTGCATGTACTGACTTAGACCTTCAAACATGCTCTGAAGATCGTGCATGTACTGACTTAGACCTTCAAATTGGAAAATGGACCCAAAAGAGATACTGTCAAATGAGTTTTGGACTACTACAAATTCGACATTGACAGAACAGAAAAGGATGTACATTTGGCACTGTACACCCCCATACCGCCCAGCTCCGTAAAATATGATTGTGGATTGTTGTGAAACGTTCTCTAGGGGTCACCACCTCTCGTGTGTGGTCTGTGATGAGCTCCAGGAGGAGGGTGACCATGAGCCTCACGTCAGGGGAACTGCAGTGTTTGTTGGAGATGAACTCTCCGTTGTCAACAAGACGTCGGATCTCCTTCACCAGCTGTGGGGGGTATCAAATTTTACGACTGGGAAACCTTTGAACTTTTGCGATTTGTTTTGTGATACTGGCGGCAAAATAAAAATAGTTTGTTCCCTCAAAATTTCTATCTAACTGTAGCTACAGTATGCACTGCACACGTCGTGATTCGTTCTATTACGCAATTGCCAAACAAAACAACAAGTTGGTATATACGCACTTGGCAAATCAACTTGTTTGTAAAATCGAATGCTGGATTTGTGTTTTTGCGCTCGTGTCTGTTGACGTTGAGAGGTGATGTCATGATGAGGTAACCAACACAACAGGAGCCTGCGAGACTGTCCTAATGAAATTCATGATCTCCCCCATAGTGTGAGGTCCACAGTATGAATCTTTAACCCCATTGCCTAACAACAATATACATAATACCCAATGTATATAAGCCTCCATGTGATCCCACACACATAATGTCCATAGATCCTATCTCACATAATGCATTAACTTAACTTTTATGTAGATCTTATAAGATACTGCTGACAAGAATACTACCACCATTGTATCTGCCGCTGCTCAATGCAGTGCTACATTATACGTGACTTACAGCCGAGGCCTGGGGTTTGAGAATGTCCCAAAGCATCCTCCTGGGTGGCAGTCCTGGTCTAGGCTTACCGTCCACTGTGATTGTCTCTGACAATACTGCGTGCGGAACAAAATAAACATTTAGAAGATGCGCATATGCTCTAGTGACACAGTATATATGTATAATATGCTCGGTATATATGCATTTGTGCCACTTTCATTAGTGTAAAGGCATTCGTTTATGTACTCGATGTGTAAAATTAATTTCATTCTTGCAAATAATAGGGACACAATTAATCAATAAAGTAATCTGCCAATAAGAATGTTAATTTCAATGTTAAAGTAATCTGCCAAAGCAACAGTGTATGTCGTGCCATCAATGCATTAGACTTCATATAATTATAGAGAGTGATACAAATGAATGAATGGTGTGGGGTTGTGAGTGACATAGCGTCTGATCGTCTCTCCTGAATGTCTTCACTAGAGGTGTGTCTGTCCATGTAGAGCCTCTCCCTTATCATCTCGCCACTACCGCGCTACCCCGTGGTCTATTCACATGGGCACACGTAACACCAGTGAGACAGATGTAGGCAAATCATATGCAGTTGGCCCTTCAACATAAATACTAGATTTGTGTTTTGACTAGAAATCTGTTGACCAATTATTGAGGGAAATTGTGCATAAGATCTTCAAGCACTGCATGCCGCCTTCATCCTTAGGTAGGCAATGTGTGTCGGCGTCTCGTCTCCAGAGACTGTCTCGCGAATCGGTGCCTCATCATCCCACCCACCCGACTGCCCCCCGCCCACAAGTTTCTCGAATGACTTCACGTACATTGCGGAGGTCTGGCGGACTAACCTGATGTATGCCGGGGCAGTTCGATGTAGCGGCTTTTCTCTTGCTTCTGACGTCGCGGGTGCCACTTGAGTTTTCTAGAGGTCGCTCGTGTCGCCCAGCTCTAGACACGTGGATCTACTGGCAGAGTAGAAGAACATTCATGAAGAATGGGAGGTACTTTTGGAGAGAGGGCAAGGGTGTGGAGGATGTGTGTAGGTCATATACGATGTTTGGGATTTGATGGAATATTTTGTCAAACAATCCAGAGCCTCATCTTTACATTACCTACGAGGGGGGGGGGGTGCATTCCAGGGCATCAAGTGATTATAGTTAGCTCTAACTATCTGCGCTGCTATAGTCCGTCTGATGAATATATAGGCAAAAATGAGGTATTGGACAGCAGTTACCTGCACATTGAACCACGACATAGACCGCTTAATCTTAGCCACATGCACCTACGACCAGTGTAGTTCACAGTTCATATAGCGCTCTCTTTCGTTTTTTCGTCTGGTCTCCCTCGCATGCAGGTCGGCTGGTGTGGCCCTCAGACGCGTCATCCCCCAATCAGCTGGGGGTCTCGGCAAAGGCAACCGTCTCGTTCTCCAGCTGTGTTGGTGGGCTCTGCCAATAGGAGTGACTTTGGGTGCTACGTCAACAGCGTAGGCCCCTGTCGAATGCACGCTTTAACGACTCGCGCTGTACATGTAGATGCCTGAGGGTTCAATAAAAACGATTACGTACAATTTAGCATCTAAATTTTTGATACACTCATTGCTGAAGTCTTGGCTAACGGGCATTGAGGGGGCTTCATAATCCGCCGCTCCCAAACTCACTAATCTATACTAGCGAAGTCCGTAGTTAACATAGGGCCGGGCTTAAGGTTGGGTCAGTCTCGTAACAGCGCAGCTTTATACCGTTTGCTATTTCATTGCTCATATAAAAAGGTTCCCCTCTAATGCTGCTCTTTCACTGATTGCGTACTAGCTCTCGACATGCAAGCAGCTGCAAATATGCTACACTGTGAGGGTGGGAGGAGCGGGAAGGAGGGCGAGCCGCCTCTCTTTTGCCGCTTGTTGTACGAGTCGATCATCTTTATCAGCCCTCTTACTGGCCGACTGTCCGCTCCTGGCCGGTCAGCTGGAGATGTCCATCTCCCTCACAACAAACACACCTCTGTCACCTGGCGCGTGGACTGCAGCTCAGACTTGCGCGCGTTTAGAGCCACAGTGTACTAGCTTAAGCCTCTTCCAAGCTAGCAAACTCATACAGCTAGCTAGCTCTCTGGAAGCTGCAGAACAGCCCCTCCAACCTCCATTACGTCATTAACCTTGACAACGACTTGTCCTCTTGCTGCACCCCGAGCGAATTCCTATCGTATGGTTGTCCTCGCCTTATTATTGAAAAAAAAAAACCAACCGAACAGCAAGCTATAGCTACTGAGCTCTAGAGCCGGGCCTATATATCGTAGCAGCTAGTGTCGCTACCACACACGCCCCCAATCCCGATTTCGCGTGTCGTAGGTCGAAAAAGGTCAGACACAAGGAAATCCCTGTCAGCTAAGGCAAAGCACTTTGCAGTGTAGAGATATGGAGGCTGTCGTTGGCCGAGAAACGACAAGCTCCGGTCCAAGGCCCCCACAGCCGGAATAATCGGTGAGCGATCACTAGAAAGTTACAACGGCTGTACAGCCAATAACATTAGCTATCCTTTGTTCCCATCGACCATAGTTGTGGGGGACGAGATACTGAAGGGACGTGTCCAGGACACGAACTCTCACTACATCTTGTGGCCAGCAGCTCTGGCTGTGTGCGGTGTTAGAGTCTCCAAGGTACTGCACCATGCATGCACATACCTACCTACCAGTGTGTGTTCAGAGGCATAATGGGTCTATTTGCAAGACTACAGACGCTGCCGCATATATCTTTAAAATCGTGCGGAAGAGATAAGAGCAGAGAAATGGATAATTGAAAGTTACACGCGGAAAAGCTCACCTACATAGTTCTAATCCCTTAAGGCTGTTGGCTAGTATGTTTTCCGTGTAAGCTTTCATTTCTCCGCTTCTCTTGTGCTCTTATATTCTCTTCCTCCACTTGTGTGTATATATGTGTACTGCAGTCTGTGTTGAAAATGAAC